TGCACAGGCCGCAAGGCGGGGGCAGGACACACACCGGCCCCCCTCCCCGGGAGCTGGCCCTGGAACCCTGCAAGGGAGGGAACCTTCCGGCAAGCAGAAGTCAACAGCGGGGCGAGCCCCAGGCGGGCGGGAGGCCAGACACCCCCGGTGTTCACAGCCAGGAGGACGCAGGCCACCCCTGACCAGGAGGCAGCGGCTCCCCGCGCGGGCGACCGGCCATTCACACGGCCTCCCAGCCACTTGCTGCAGCCACGCGGCGCCTCAGGGCGGGAGCGTCGCCGCCCTGCTGGATGGACACAGAAACCGGGGCCCAGAGGGTGCGACAGTCCAGGGCCTCTTGCCGCCAGACGGACCCCTCCTACCTCCGGGCCCCAGGCTCTCTTAGACCCGTTGTCTTTTGTTGTCCCCACTCCAGGGGCAACACCTCGCTGGCCTGGACACAACCCAAATGTCCATCGACAGGTGACAGATAAACGGAGGGGGCGCACACGCCGCGGGGTGCTGTTCCGTGAGGACGACCGGGAGGGCGCAGTGCTATGATGCACAGGCCGGCCGCCGGGGCAGCGGCGGCGCACGCCCAGCAACGCATGGTGGGCGCGGCAGGCGTTCCACAACACGGCGGGGGAACAAGACAGACCCTGCCACCTCAGGGCCCGCGGCCATTGCCACCCCCAGCCGCCAGGCCCCCTGCTGGGCACCAGCAACCCAAAGACAAATGAGCCACAGCCCCTCCGCTTACGGGGCAGCGGGGCCAGACCAGGACGCCTGCGGCGTGACGCGGGAAGTCACCTTCTTTTCCTTGAGCAGGAATCTCGGCAGCTGGAAAAGGCCACAATCAAGGTCATCTAATCAAGGTCACCCGGTAGGTGACACTAGGAGCCCGCCAGGGGTGTCCGACCTGGGGCCCAGGATGGCTGTGAATGCCGCCCGACAAGACATCGTGAATTTACTTAAAACTATGAGATTTGTGTGTGTGTGATTACATGTCGCCCAGAGACGCCAAAAGGTTGGACACCCTGGCAAACCCTCCAAACGCCAGCCCTGCGGCGATGGGGCCACCCCGGCCCCGGGGCTCGTGAGCCGGCCTCCGGCCACTGCCTCGGCCGCGGCACCCGGCCCCGGGATGCCACGCGTCCAGGGAAATGGAAAGCTGCTCCTCTTTGTGGCAAGGTCGCGCCCTTGGACCTGGTTTCTTCCAGGGCTCCTCCCGGCTTGCCTACGCGGAAGACCCTCAATCCCTTCCTCCCCGCTGCGGGAAAGTCAGCTGGAACATCCTCGGGACGGGGACTTTCAGGGCGAAGGGAGTAAGTGAAGAATGGACGTCATCGTGCTGCCGACCTCGGCGCCCCAGGCGCGCAGGACAGGCTGTGCTGGGAGCAGCCCTCGGGCCGGAGCCGTGGCGAGTCACCCAGGGCTGGGAACCACACTCGAAGGGGTGCTCTCCTTTGGGCCGGCCGCTCGCCGCGCACGGGTGTCCTCCGCACCCCCGGACACCCGCGTGCCGGCCCCCCGGCCCCCGGCGCCCCCACGCGGGCTGCGCAGGCCGGGGCTCAATTAGTGAGCGCCTTTCCCAGCTCGGTCACCACACATCTGCCGGACCGGCCCCTGCACAGGCGGACTCAGTGCTACTGTCACCTGTCACACGCGGAGGGAAAAACAAAGCCCCAGGCGGTGCGTGTCCATGGACAGCGAGGCAGGTGAGAGCACTTCGAACTGGGGGCGCTGTTGTTACTGACAGTGGTTTGGTGCTGGGTCCTTCAGCACATCGAACGAATCCCCTCCAAGCCGGCAGCGCCACCCCCCCCCCGCCCACACCCTGCAGAGGCTGCCCCCCAACGCGTGGCCTGTCGGACGCTCAGCGCCGGTCGACTCACTGAGATACGTTCCCAGGAGCGAACCCCGCGGAGGTGGGTTCAGAACGGCGGATGCCTCACGCTGCGGCCCTGCAGCCCTGCGGCCCCGTGGCCCCGCGCCCGGCCGGCCCGGCCTCGCTGACGGCTCCTGCCCCCTCGGGAGCCCCCCTTGTGTGGGCTTTCACAGGACCTCCGTGCCTTTCTCCCATCATGATGGCCCAAGAGGGAAAAATTCTAACTGCAGAAAATGTCTGGTTGTTCTCCCTCTTGTGAAAAAAAAACCAAAAACCGCAAGTGAAAAGTGAACTCTTACGACAATGTGCCAAGAAAAGCAATTAATGGGCCCTCCGGCAGGATGAGGGGAGCGGGCGCGTCTTGCTAAACCGGCCTTGACCGCGTTCCAGGCCTGCCGGGCAGCGCCTCCCTCCCGCCAGCCCCGTGCAGCTGGAAGCGGTCCCCTGTTGAGGATGGCAATGGCCATCTCTTTCTCCCCTGACACGCTCCCATTCCTAACCCCCCCCACACACACACCCCTTATCAGATGGCTTTTCAAGGGGCTGTAGGGACAGGTGGGGCAGGGCAGGGTGGCGGGCACAGCTGGCAGCCTCCACTGAGCTGGCTCTCCCTCCCCCGGCCTCACCCAGACACCGGCCCCGGGGGGCCCTCCCTGGGGCCAGGTCCCTTGTGGCGAGGACAGGCGAGGCCGGCAGGCTGCAGTCCCTCCTGGGGGCAACAGGAAGGAGCTCTCGCCCAGCTCCGCAGCCCAGCCCAGGGGCCCGCCAGGCCCTCAGGAGAGTCGGGGAGGGGAGCGGGGGAAGCCCCCCAGCTGCCAAAAGAGAAAACTCCCCCGTGGCCAAGCACGACCTGGCCAAGGGTCACAGAGCTGGGGAGAGAGGAGAGAACAGTGACCCGCGTCGCCGCTCGGCGGCTCTCCGCGGGGCACGCCATCTCTGGGAAGGCTCCTGGGGTCAGCAGGCCCGGGTTCGAGGCCCCAGGAAGGCCCAGGGCGGCCTGAAATGCCTTCTTCGGAGGACCAGCTCTGTTAGAGGGGCCAACGTGGGGTCGCCGGTCCTCCCTGTGCAAGACTGTGGGCACCCGCCGCCTGAGGCTGGGGAGAGGAGCGGTGGGCCGGGGCAGGGGGGCCGCACCCTTTCTCCTTTCTCTGGCACCGACGACCAAGCAAACCCAAGAACCTGCCGCCCGGCCTTCACACACCTAGCGCTAAGCACCAGCAAAGCGCCCTGTTCTAGACGCTGCCAGAAATACCCTGGGGCGCAGACACGATGACAAAGGTGGCAGACGGGCTCCCTGCACCAGGGGACCCTCGAGGAGGAGACAACCCACCCAGGAGCAGGCGCCGGGGAGCTCAGGAGCCGCAGCCGTGCCCGGAACGCAGCAGGGGCGGGGGCCAGGCTGGCGGGGTGGCTACCTGTGTCAGCTCCGCGAACTGTGGAACCTCTCCGAGCCCGTTTCCCTCCCTGCAAAATGCCGGCCTTCGCGCGCTCAAGGATGCGCGCTCAAGGATGTGCGCTCAAGGATGCGCGCTCAAGGATGCGCGCTCAGGAGCAGGCCAGTCCTCGTGGAGGCACTTCGAACAGAGTCCGTCCTCATTTAGGAGTTAAAATTACTCAGCACCCCAAAGTCGACTCTCCTGGCGCTTTTGAGGCCCCCTGTGGACGCGTGCAGAGTGGCAAAATTTCTGAGTCACCTAGCATGAGTGTTTCCAGCTGAGGCAGAACAAAGGTCCTTATTGTCGTCTGTTCAGTGCTACGATTTTCACAGTTTTGTGCTTTTTTTGTTGGTGGTTTCGCTGCTTAAAAGTGCCCCAAGCACTGTGTAGTGTCCCTGAGCACAGGAGGGCTGTGACGTGCCTTAGGAACAAAGCACGCCTGTTCGATGAGCGTTGTTCAGGCGTGAGTGACGGTGCTGGGGGCCAAGTTCGACGTCACTGAACCAACACCACCTATTAAGTAAGGCGTCTTTAAACAGAACGGCACACACGAGGCTGCGTAGTGACCGGCTGACAGACGTGCAGAGGCTGGAGTCGCTGCGGCCGGGTCCGCGGCCCGGGGCGGGACTGGCTGCCGGGAAGAACGAGGCCGGACCGTGCACACAGGACAGGCTCACGCGGAGGCCTCCTGCTCCGCGGGGCCCTCTGCTCCTGGCTCGCCCTGAGACCGGGCTCAGCCTCAGCACCCCTGCGCCCCACCTGCTGCTGCCTGGGCGACTCTCCGTCTGTCCCCAGCCCCCCAGCGCAACCCCTTCCCACCCCGGGCAACTTCAGGGCGGGCGCTAAGGGGAAGCTGCGGGCAGGGGGCAGGGGGCCAGCGGCACGGGGAAAGGCCGCTTCCCGAAGGCCCTTCTCCAAGGCTGCGTGGCCGGCTTTTGACTGGTCTGTTACCGGAACCCGGCCTGGTGGCTGACTGCCTTCCCGCCTTCCGGCGAGGGCCACTGTCACCGTGAGTGACGCAAGCGAACATCAGCTCTCCTGGCTGACATGCTGTTTATGCCTCTGGCTCCAAAGGTTTTGCAGAGGGTTGTCATGGTGTTTGCCAGGCTGGCGTGAGGAAGTCAGGACCCCAAACCCACTTTACGGGGCAGGGGGTGGTGCGGAGAAAAGGCCAGAGTACAGGGCTGCTGCCGCCTCAGCCGGAGCTGGGAAGCAGGAACCGGGGTTCCAGGCTGAACGACAGGTCTCGGCCAAGTCCCTTCTCTTTGGCGGCCTCCCCTCCTTGCCCGCCTCAGCCTCCACAGGGTGCAGCCCTCCAGTTCCGGCGTCTCCAGCCCTCCCTCAAGACTGGAGGGGTGTTTCAAAAGGCCCCACCAGGCTCCCCACCGTCCCCCACCCCCGGACCATTTCTCTCCTTTTGCTCCACAACACCTGTTCTGACGGGGCCTTGGCTGTAAACACAGATTTTAGACTCCTACGCCCTTTACAGGTGCTGTGGTGATCAAAACTCCACACATTCTCCAAGGCCTCTTCAAATCCCACCTTTTCCAGGAAGTCAACCATGACTGCCTTTCCCAGAAAGGGCATCTCCCCTTCTGGACTCCGCTCCCTGCTTGAGCAACAGTTTGTGCACGGTGCTTGTTACCTGTGAGGGCACGCCTCCCGGGCCACGCTGCGGGCTGGCCTAGGTTTTAGGTGCAATGTTGCTTATTGGAGTCACCTCACGCGTCTGTCCAGTTTCCCATGCCCCTTGAGGGCCGACGTGCAAAGAACACAGGTGGGCAGGCTCGCACGCAACCGTGCGCACCCGCGCAGACGGCGACGTGGAAGCAGGGAAGTGGACCAGGGGTTAGGGGACGCACCTGCTAGATGGGGTGTCGTGTTGCGCGCTGAGCGTCCCGCCAGCCCGCGAGGCGGTGACCCAGAGGTGGGAAGAGAGTGTGTGGTAACATGAGTACCGACCCAGACGGCCTCTGGGCAGGCTCAGGCCCACGTGTCTCGACGTCGGTCTCCGGGCCTGTGGGGCAGGCCGCACACAGAGAACACATGTTTTTCTTTCATCATCAAAGGAGGAAGCAACCTAGTTCCCCTCAAATTCTACAAAGTGTTTCACACGAGACTGTAAGGGGCCTTGAGCAGAGGGGCCCAGGGCCCCAGGTCGCAGAGCGAACCAGGCAAGGGCTGGCATCTCTGGGGGCATCCCCGGGAGCCTAGGCAGCGCGTAATCCACATCCCCGGAACCGCCAAGGAGAAGCTGCGCAGAGGCCACTTAGCGGCATCGTGCCTGGTGGCCGCAGATCCCGATGCGCAGTTTTCTGCAAAGGGACCAACCTTGGGGAAGCAAGGCTCCGAGGCGGCGGGCAAGCACACGGCGGCTGTCGGGACCGACGGGCTCTCCTGCCGTGGTTGAGGAAGCAGGCGTGAGACCGCTGTCCTGCCTGCCGGCACGCACGGCCCTGGCCTTTTTTCCAAAAGCAGGGAAGCAGGATCGCAGGTCCTGCCCTGCAAACTGAAAGGTTGTCGGTTCGATGCCCCATAAAGGCACACGCTCGGGGGGCGGATTTGGTCCCCAGTCGGGGCAGGTAAGAGAGGCGACTGATCGATGTTTTTCTCACATCAATGTTTCTCTTCCTCTCTTTCTCCCTCGCTTCCCCTCTCTCTAGAATCAATAGCAAGAAAAAAAATTTTTTTTTAAAGAAACAAGCAGCTGCAGGATCTTGAAGCACCAGAAGTTTCCTCTTCTAATCTGTATCTCTACAAATAACTGCATGCTCTCCATGACTGGCCCCTCTTGGAGACCGAGTTAGGAGGGCTTAACCGGACCGGACGGTTGGAAGTCCACCTGCCTGCTGTTAAAATAGGCCCCTCGCCCGGGAGGAAGGAAAGCCGGGTCCCCCTGGCAGAGAGCGTGGCAGCAGCCCACTGGGGGCGGCCCTCCCACCGTGGGTCCGACAGACACTTCCCTAGGCGCCCACCGTGGGCCAAGCACGGGAACCCAGAGGAGTGAGAGTCAGCACGGACCCCCCAGGAGCCCAGGCTGGTGGGGGGGCCCCTGTGAACAGACACCTGCCATTCCTCTCGGAAACTGGACCAAGGGCACAAAGGTGGAGGGATGGAGCCTGCCCGGGGGGGCCCGTGAAGAGCCCTTAAGGGAGAGCAGGTGGGGCCCAGGCCCAGAAGGACCAACCAGACCTGCGAGAAACACGCAACGGAACAGCCGGGCGGTGCCCCGGCTCCCCGGCTCCCCGGCTCCCTGACTCCTGACTCCCGCGGCCAGCCTCTGCCCACGGCCGCCCCGGCAGAGCGCGTGCAGGAGGCCAGGGAGAGGAGGCCCCCTCCGCACGCACCACCCGGGGACCCGGGGCCTGCGCCTGCCATCGCAGCAGAGCATGTACTGTCCCCGTCATTTGGCAAGTCACTCCCTACAAGAAAAACAGCCCTGCCTAACGCACTGTGCCTCCCTCTGCAAAGGGAGGGGGCTGGGAAGCTTCCAGGCACCGCGCACAGTCTCTTCACAGGGTGATTCAACAGTGACAGAGCCGAGGGCCCAGATCAGCTGGGGTCCTGGGGCGGGGGGCAGCCGGGGAGGGGCTTCCACCCCATTCAGACTCCGGCCGTGCACAGGGTGCTGGCCCAGGACGGGGGACCAGGGAGGAGTGAACACCCGCCCTCTGGAGCTCACAGTCCGGCAGACACCAAGTCACTACAAAATAGGGAGTCAGGGACGGTGCAGGGAGAGTCAGGACAGACAGGAAGGGGCACCGGGGGCTTGCGCTGTGAGGGAGATTCAGATGAGAAGGGGGGCACTGACCACCTCCCCCCAAAAAAGTGGGTGGGGAGGAGCTGTCTTTTCAGCTCCAGTGACTCCCAGTGGGGGTGTGGAGAGATCTGGTGGTGGACCAAGAAAGATGCTCAGATGAGGCTTCTGAACGGCCCCGGGGTGGGGAGAGGGGGCAGGCCCAGGACTCAGAGGCAGGGACAGGGGGCAGCTGAGGAACCCCAAATTTCTCTGCAGGGTCGCAAGTCCGTTAGAAGGGGACAGAGCAGAGAACTTGCCTGGAAATGACATTTCTGTAGCAAGCCGCTGTGTTTACTTACAATGTCCATTGGGGTTTCTTGGGGGAATTAGTGCGCCTTAGGCGGAGAGGGGACATTGAAGTTCCCCTTTCCCCAAGTCTTCCCCGAGCCCCACCCTGATAAGAAAGGGCGCGCGGGCCCGGGCGGGGGGCGAGGAAGCCGCGCCTCTGGGCGCCGCGGGCCCAGCAGGAAAGGGGCTCCTGGGTGGGGATGGGCCGCGTTTCCCTCCGGCCGAGCACGACGCCGGCGCGCTCCTCAGTCCAGGCCCCTGTCTACGGGCCACACCCGTGCTCGGCCGGACACCCACCGGCCGCGGCCTCGCGCTGGACGGAGGTCCCGCGGGAGGCGGCGGCAGCGGCGGCGGCGGCGGTGGGGGCTGGACGGGGGCTCCGCCGCCCCTCCCTCGCGCCGGGCGGGCCCGCGCCGCTCACGCATCTGCCCCTTGACCGCGGCGACCCTTGTCACTGGGGGAGGGGAGTCCCCTGCACCCCAGCCATAACCGACGGAAATGAGGACGTGAGCCTCTGGGGCCGGAACCCGGAGGGCCGGCGGAACCCGCAGCCGGGCTCGGGGCGGCGTCCCGAGCCCGGGGTCCCCGCGCGCGCCCCACCCTCCCCGCGCGGGTCGGCCGGGCCGGGGCCTCTCCCCACGGCGCCCGGCCCTCGGGGCTGCTCGCTGGCCCGGGGACGCGCCGCCTTCCGGCCGGGCCGCGGAGACACTCACCCGCTCAGCGCGACCGCCGCTCCGTCCTCTCCGGCCGCTCGAGCCGGGACGCTCACGCCGCCGGGGAGGCGCCGGCCCCGCGGCCCCCGCCCGGCCGCCTGCGCCCCGCGGCTCCGCGCGCCCCCGCCGCCGCCAGCTGGCCCCGCGCGAGCGGCCGGGCCGCGGCGGGCATGCTCCGCGCCGTCGGCGGGGGCGGGCGGCGGCGCACGTGCGGCGGCCGGGGTCTGCGCGCTCGCGGCGGCGGGCGGCTGGACAGCGCTACGCGCGGCCGCCGCTCCCCGCGCGCCCCAGCGGCCGCCGCTGCCCGAGCGCGCCCGGCCCGCCGCGCATTCCCTCGCCCGGCGGCGGCGCTGCGCCTCCGTCAGGCCGCGCGGGGAGCGGCGGCGGCGGGGCCGGGCCGGGCCGCCTCCGCCGGAAGAGCCGGGCCGCGGGGGCTCCCCGCGCTGGCCGAGCTCGGCGCCGCCCGGGGCCCCGACCCCAGGGCGCCCCGCTCCCGGGGCCGGGCTCGTGCCGCGCGGGGGCGTCCCGGGCGCGAGACCCAGACCTCACGCTCGGTTCCCAGCGTCCGCGGAGCCTGTCGGGGACCCGCCGAACGCGCTGGGGAGCAGCAGCCCTGCGGGGATTGTCCCTCGCGGCGCTTTCTGTAAGCGGAGTTCTGCGGGACTGCGGGGACGGACCTGGGGACAAGCTGCCCAAGGCCTGGTGCGGCCCCGGCGACTGGGGACGCGGCGGCCCGCGCGGCTGAATCCCGAGCCCAGACGCCCGCCGACCTGTCCGGCAGCCACAGACCAGGCTCCCGTCTGGAGTGTGCTGGGCCGCCAACGTGGTGGCCGTCGTGGTGGGGGGGGGGGGCGCAGTGAGCGCGAGGCTTCGTCCCCGAGCCCCGGAGGGACCTGGGAGGGGACCAGAAACAGCTTCACCCCAGGCTCCCTCCTGGTCGACCTCCCGACTGGACACAAGGCCACCGGGAGGCCACTGAGTGGAAAGCGAAAGAAAGCGGGGGAATGGAGACGGAGCGAGGACGGGCCTGGTGGCCAAGCGGTGGAGCGATGGGGTGGCTCCTGGCACACCGAAAGCCCCAACAGCGCTTCAGCTGCCCCGCCGAGTGTCCCCGTGTGTGGCAGGGAGGGAGGGGGTAAGGGCAGGCCGGTGTCCACGCAGGCCAAGGTGGAGTCCGACAGAGCCGGGCAGGACACCCCGCCAAAGGGCACATCGTCTGCCCGACGTAGCCAGAGCTGGAGGCTGAAAGGCCTGGGAAAAGGCCGCAGACACCACTGGGCCCCAAGCTCGGGCCGACGGCACTCAGAGCAAGTGAAGGTGCCCCATCACCCACGGAGCCCTCAGCCCCTTCCCACGCCAAGAGGGGTGCTGAGACCCATGGGAGGGAGTTCCCGGAGCACAGCGTCTCTGGAGTGCCCCCCGCCCCGCCCCCGGGTGCCCGCTGGAACAGGGCCCCAGCCGGGCGGGGGCTCCCCTCAACCCAGAGGGCTTAGCATGTCACCAACCAGACGCCCCACTTAGCCCACGTGAATACACACACTGCTGTCACGAGACTTTTTTCTTTTTAAGTTTATTGAGAGCCTGTTTGCAACAACGATGGTCCCTGCTCTCATGGAGCTTACAGTTTCATTGCTCAGAGGCGCGACAAGATTTAACAACTGCAACGAGCACTTGCTCTGTCTAACGCTCCGCGGCGCAGCCTGAAGCAAGTCGGCCACAGGATTCGTCACTGCTGCCGTGACAGCTGTGAAGACAGACGGACGTCGCGTCTCTGAAGCCTGCAGTCGCCCGGACGACACAGTGCGTCGCAAAGGCAAACCTATGGCTCAATTCCTCACATTCGAGGGGTCTATGGACATCACAGCACAAATCAAGGGAAGCAGCTCAGTGACATGGGTCCTATACAGGTGGAGTTTAACACACGACCACACTGCCACGGAACTCCCGGAAGGGCAGGGAGTTACTGCCTGAAAAGTCGGTGCAATGTAATTGCTTCTGTCAGACCCTGCGCGTATCCGAACCCTAGGCGGCCGCCACGGCGGGTGTGCGGGCTTTACCTCCTCGAGAGCCCTGGGCACACGTCTGCTTTTTAAAGCTTCTTATAGACTAGCAGCGCGTGCTGCATGGGAAGGCTTAGTGAAAACTGCTTTTGGGCTATCTAAAAATGAAAAAAAAAACACGTCGATTTTTACTACATATATGTGAGTGCAGAGTTCGGAATTCGAACAGCACTCAGCAAAGCACCCGGCTTTTCTAAGTTAAAAAAGGAAACGCTTTTGGCTGGTTACCAAGCTCTGAAGACAAACCCCAACGGCGCCCGTCGCCGCCCCGTGGGGCCCTTCCGTCACGTCAGGCGGCCCTGACTCACAGGCCTCCCTGCGTGACGCCCAGCGGCAGGACAGCGGAAGGACAATGACCTTCATTCCTCTAGCAATATTTTTAGGAGGGCATCCTATATTTTGTCCAATAAGCCCGAAATAACCAAAGACTAAAGTGCCTTCTTTGATCTTACACGCCACGGGGTTATCAGATTTTTATTAGTCATTGAAAAAAAAAACGAAAACGAAAAACCCTGACACCCAAAGGCAGCTTTACAGAAACTCCGAGGAAGCTCCCTTTTTTGGCAAAGAGGTGGAGAGAACGTCTCGGACCACCTAATGGAAACGTCCACCAGTCCAAGGTCATTTGGAAGTCCCTTCCTTAGGACACAATCTACTTCTGTTTTAAAAAATACCATAGAGTTACTTCAAAAGCCTATTTATTTCCGGATGAGGCCGAACTGTGCTATTCACTGAAAAGTTACGAAGCAGCAGGCACTTCCCATGTCTTCCTGAATGGAAGGCCTGCCGCTCGCTGCCCGACGGCGGCGGGGACCCCGGTCCGCCGGCTCTCCCGTCCCCTCCTGCCCGGCCCTGCGCAGTATCGGAACCTGCATTTTAAGCGGTGACTCAGGGCTCCCAAAGGGCGTTTCCCCACCTCAGGGGGCTTGTAAGGGCCAAGGGGCCAAGGGGGCAGGGAGAGCTAACGTCGCATTTAAAAAGGCACTTTGCTCAGGTTTGTTTTTTACTAAGTGCAGCTCCACCCCGGCCTGAGGCAAAAATAGTTTATACCTCCCTGGCCGGTAGCTGCTTTCAAGATCGCAGCCTCGCCTGCTTTTAGGTAGAGTGGCTTTTAAGAGTGTTTGTCAAGTTAAACATCACCAAAGGGAAAGGTGGCAGGTTTTCCTCAGCTTCTCTCTTCACAGGCACGAACAAAAATTTCTTGTAAAAAAAAAAAAAGTGGCTGGCACTGCTCGTCTATTACATGCTTCAAAAATCAAAGCGTATCTCTTCTGAGAGAGGCACAGAAGACGCTTTGATGGGGCTTAATACCTTTCTTGGGATAATAAACTAAATAGACTAAGAAGATAGCTCCTCGCCGACATAAAACTATAATCTTTCTGAAACAGCCATTTCTTTATCCTTTAAAATGTAGCGGACTTTACAATAAAAGGAAGGAGCAAGGCAGCAGCCTCACAAGGTCCCGGCTGGTTGGCGATGTCGTGCACAGGAACCTGTGAGTGGGAGTGTCCGGCAAAGCGGCCCCTTACCAGGCCTTGAAACAAGCTGTCCTGGAGCTTTACTGTTAACTAGGAGATTAAAAAAAAACAACACACACTAACTAAAAAACACCACCAATAAAGGCACTTGATTCTGTGGATGAGTGATTTTGAGTGGCCGACGCCCCTACCTGCAGCAGGAGTGGGTGCTTGGAGGCAGCCACCCCCAGTGGGGGGACAGCGGACTTTCTGCCCTGGAACCACATGCTGCTAAGAGCCACACGAGCGGGGAAGAGCTCTCACAAGTAAACCAAACTCTAAAACCTGCGCATGTGCAGGAGGACCTGGCCGTGAAGGTCTGCAATGTCTGTTCCTCGACACGTGCCAGGGCTGCCCGGGTGGGCGCTGAGCTCTGACCGGCCACCGGCAAGTGGGCCGCTGAGCGGCCTGGATGCGACGGGCAGCCAGCGCGCGCCCGCGAGAGCTCCCGGTCGGGCCCCGGCCTCGTGCTGGGAGCTGGGAGCTGGGAGCCCGCGGGCTGAGGGGCGCATCCTAACCTACCGTCCTCCCAGCACCGGCTGGGGGACTCCTTTCTGGCAGACAGGGCGGGGGAGGGCGGTCAAGTGTCTGCACGAGGACCCACCCGGACAGGAGGGGAGGAGGGCTCCTGGCACAGCCCCCGGGGGCGGCCTGCACGGCAGCAAAGCCGCATCTGCCCCCTGGCGAGCAAGCGAGGCCAGGCGGACGCCTGGGCAGGAGACCGCAGCTCTCCAGCAGGTTCACCTTCTCTGAAAAGCACTGTGACAAAAGGAGGAAATTACACTTCTCTCATTTTTCTTTCCTCACAAATAATACAGTTTAAGGGAAACAAAGTGAGTGAGTTATTCATGGAGCTTTCAGAACTTTCCAGTATTCCATCATTTCCAATATTGCCGTTACTGCTCATCTAACATTCACTCTACGACAAATGTTTCAAACAGGAATTGCATTATCATTTTTAAAAAACCTCAAAACAACTGAAATCCTGGGTATGCTGGAATTTTTTTTTTGTTTTTTTGCATTCAGCATGTATTAGTCTACCATTACAGAAGCTGTTCTGAAGCATTTATTTTTTTTTAAAAAAAAAGAGTCATATTCATAATGTGGAACAAATGTACAAAATTGGTGTGCAAAGTTAATTGTAAAAGGATAACACTATTTGTTTAGAAATAAGCTGCCTCCCCAATCACATTTCCTTATTCTTGATATAAACTGGAGACATATACTATTTAAAAATAATACTTTTTAAATAGTAAAATATACAAGAGATTCCTGAGCATAACAAAAATATCTTGAAAATATGTGGCCATTTGCAGTATAAAACAGCAGTGTAAAGAACAGCATGATTGTAAAACTACGGTTTGAAGGCCTAGAAACAGTACAAAAGAGTTTGCCTTTTTTCCTAGTGCATAATTATATATTAGTGCAAACAAAACGTCTCAAATTGTAATGGCGCCGCCACGCCTCAGAGATTTGCCGAGGTGCGCAGGACATGGAACTTCTTCAATGTCATGCGAACTGAGCCCAGCTCTCGGTTAATCCTTTCCAAACGGTCTTCCAGGGCCTCCTAGGCAGAAATAATGGGAACAACTGAGTTAGAATTCCACGTCAGGCTCACTCATCCCATAACTACCACCAAGTTGGCCCTTCTTTTAGCAAAAGAACAATATGCACATGAAAATAGAATATTTCGTTTTCTACACAAACCATTTGTGTATTATCTGTTTTAAACCGCACGATGCGCATCAACTTCTCAGCCACTGCAGAGAACCCTGACACTTTAAATGCCCTCAGCAGGCTGAGACGGCGGGGGGGGGGGGGGGCGGTTTCCAGCGACGGCAACACGGCAGGCAGGCAGGCCACGTGCAGGAGGGCCTCCGCCCGGCCGCTGGGCACCCCGAGCACCCTCATCAGGTGGCCTTCTTCTGACGAACACGCCAGAGTTCAAGAGGGAGGCAACGTCTGAAGGAGCCTTTTCCAAGGAACAGATTTCACAATGAATCAACATAACTGTGGTTTTTAAATAAATAGTACCTGGAACATATGTAAGCGGCAACCCAAAAAACCCCGGAATCACCTTCCGGAGGGCGGGCCCCAGCTGCCCGGGGCAGCCGCGCCAGGGGAGCGCCCTCGGAAGGCTGTGTTCGGCTTCAGTGGGTCTTTTTTTAAGACCCGGAGCACTGGCGCCTTTCATGGTGGCTGGCTTACGAGCGCACCTGCCCACACCGCGCTGAGTGTTCAGCAGTTTTTGACTAAAAATGGCAGGACCTCTGTGGCCCACCCTCCCTGGTCACCTGCTCTCGCCCCAGCAACATTTTTTTGTTTCCCAGATGAAAAAAGTCCTCCGAGGGAAACGTTTTGCCTGTGGAAGAGGGGAAACAAGAAACGGCAGAAGCACTCAAAGGCACCAAAATCCATGAGTTCAAAACCTGTTTTGAGCAGTGGGAAAAAACATCTCGATGGGTGTATGCCCTCAAATGGTGAGGACTTTGAAGGTGACTGAAATTTACACATGTGAGAATAAATACAGAATATTTTACAAATAAACTCCAGGGTTTTTGGGTCCTCCCTTGTATTTATCATTTAGATACTTTACTCAATATTAACTCCAATGATATCCTAAAATAAAACTTAAATTTCTCTTATATTTTAACAATTTAAATATAAAAGAGCTACACGTTCCTTAGAATATTTAGCAGATGATCAAAAAGAAAGAAATAGCTACTGCTCCTCTTTCCTTGTTTTTTCCTGCAGATACGCTCACCTTTTTTAAGAAGAAATTAAAACAGACTCTAACCCTTTACTTCAAAATGTTTTTCAGCTGAACTCTTGTTATGAAACACCTGCTCTGACTGGGGCGGCCCAGTGGGGTGGGCATTGTCCTGCAAACCGAAAGCTCACCAGTTGGATGCCTGATTCCCGGGCAGGACACAGGCCTGGGTCGGGGCCCAGGGCCCCGGCTGGAGGCGTGTGAGAGGCAACCGATCAATGTTTTTCTCCCTTTCTTTCTCCCCCCACCATCCCCACTCTCTAAAAATAAATAAATGAAGTCTTAAAAAAGAATCTTTCTACCACATTGTTTTAAATTAAGTACAACATTCCATCACGTGTACCGTTTTTAACCAAGAATCTTTCAGTAAAAATGTAGGGGGCTTCTCATTTTTGGCATCATAAATTAGGCTGCAATAACTATCCTGAAACCCATCCCCTGCGCCCAGCCATGCTCCCCGGCTGCACCCACAGGCCCGGATGCGCTCCACAGCCACCCGCGGGGCGGGGCAGGGCGGGGCGGGGCGGGTGGCGCTTCTCCCCACCTGGACGCTGTTGTTGAAATAGCACCTCCCAGGGGCGGTGCCTTTGTTTTATGTGCGTTGCTTTTCACCTACTGCCGAGCCTATATATTTTTCGTCTTTTTTGCCCAGTTAAACTGTTTTGCTTGTGGATGACGTACAAGCATCTGCAGCCCCTGTTTGCTGCCATTTGTCTTCTTACTGGACTGAAGGAGCTTTAGCAAATACACATGAACAAAAACAAGTGTCTTCAAGTGTTATTTTAAGAGTTTATGATCATTCCATAAAAATACATTAAACAAATGTTTCAGACAGATTTAGAATCTGAGTACCAACCATTTTTTCCTTCTGCTTTCCCAGTGAACTATTTTAAGAAGAGTTTCATGTGTCGAGTCTTACAAATTATTGAATAACAACTTTCAGAACAGGAAAAACAATAAAAGGACTTAAAGTCAGGAAAAAAGAGAAATTGAGACAACAGGCCCTAGAAAAAGACTTCTGCTTTTCTGTGTCTTTCGCTCCTTCTGGTATCTTAGATCGTTCTGGGCATGAACTCTTCCCGAGGCTAAGGCACTGAGGAGCCAGAAGCTACACAAGAGACCCACAGTCGCTTATTATGTTATGAAAAGAACAGAACTAAAATGTCCACTGGCTCTTTTGAAAAGCAACGGACAGAAAACCGCACGCAGGCCACTGTTCGTGCCCTCTCCTGCTCAGCTCTGGAACCCTGTCTTTCTCTCTCTATAGCTATGCCATTTGCTCCCAAGGTCATTTCTCAAACATAATGGCACGAACACCTTTTTCTTGGAATTAAAGGTAAAATCAGTTTTTATTCCTGAGAACTAGCACACGGTTATAAAGTGTGCTGCGCTCAGCAAACACTCCCCACAGGGACACACAGCCTTGACCGGCCGCTGCCCCGCGCCCCAACCATAGCCACAGACACCACCCCGGGCGAGGGGCGTGCTGACCAGTGTCAGGCCTGGGAAGGAGGGAGAGTCAAGCCGAGGCACTTCACCTGGTTTAACCTCGTCTGCAAAGTGGCCCGTCCTCCAGTGGAAGGCATGCGGCTCAGGGCTGCCTCGATCTGTCAACACAGAAAGTCCAGGTGAAGACGGAGAACGCTCCCCACAAGCAGGGAGGCTGACGACACGGCGCGGACAGTGAGGCCTTCAGCCTCGCGTTGTCTTGTCCACCTCGCCCCCCCCACCTAAGCCTCCTCTGGCATTGCTGGTGGCGGGAACTCACCCCGCCCCCCCGCCCCGGGAACTTGGGTGTGGGATTCACAGCAGCTTCATTCCTTCCCTCCTGACTGTTCCTTAGACACGAGTGTGAAGTTCAGAAAAAAAGTTAGAAAATTTTTTAGTTTTTACCTGGTCTTTTTCTTTTGTAAGTTCATCAAAAAACCGTTCTGTTTCAGCCAAGGTCCTGATCTTTGCCGTGTACTCGAAGTCCTGGGCGCGTGCCGCGCCGCTGTCCGGCTCGCCCTTCCCGCAGGCCGCCCAGACCGCAGCAGCCTGCGCGCCGCCAGGCAGCGGTTCCGGGGCACAGCCAGGGTTGATGGGGATGTCGGTGGCTTTTTCTAAGTGTTTTTTTTCTGTCCGGGAGAAAAGACATTTCTTTGATTTCTCATTAGGTTTCCTAATAGCTCATACACATACTAAATAAGTCACCCCACTTCACTTTCTGGACATTGCTACAGGGCCAACCATGAAACACGGAGAGGCACAAAATCAATCGTATTTGCTTGGTGCCTTTTCTCCACAGATTTCTAAACGCTTTGCCCTGTTTGCCCACCTTCCCTGAATGAGCGTATGGAGACTTTCTGTAAACTTAGTGAGCTTGCAGTAAACTTAAGGTCAAAAAAAGTTTAAAAACTGAACGGCACATTTATACCAACACTAAAGAGCTAACATTTTAGGGGCCTACCCATGTGATTTCACATACATCATCTTATAATTTTACTCCAAATGCAAAAGAAAAAACTGCCCAGGGCAAAGGTGTAAAACTCCGAGAACGTAAGTCAAGGGGAAAACTGAGCAGCGCGGCCCGGCAATCCCACGGGAGCGCCCGCCCCACGGCCCCAGCCTCTCAGGGGACACAGTGCGGCGCTGCGGGTGCTGCGGGCGCTGGTCAGTGGAGGCCCGTGGGCACCAAAATACGGAAGTACAGGGCGTTACAGCATTTAGAACCTTGAAAAGGAACCAGAAACTCACAAATGAGTGACTAAAACCGAAACCCCTCACTGCCGAGGACACGCTACCTTCCGCGTCATCTAGAGGGAGCGACAGGAGCTGTTTTCTCGGGTCGCTGCGCTGCGATGCGGGCACAGGAACAGTATCTAAATCATCCAAAAGTACATCAAATCTATTGAATGAAGCAAGTTACTCGTGAGAAAAGCTGGTAGCTGACCTTCCCTGTCGCCGTTAGGCAGAGGGGCTGGCGCCCGGGGAGCGCACCCTCAAGCGTATTTTTTTAGAAAGAAAGTTGGTCACATAGTTTTCTAAAACTGAAATTCATGTTTTTTTTCTTTCTTTCTTTTTTTTTAAAGGTTCTATTTATTTTTTTTTTTAGCGATAGAGGAAGAGAGGGAGAAGGAGCAGGAGAGAAACATCGATGTGAAAGACACACATCGATCGGTTGCCTCTCACTCGCCCCCAAACAGGGACCTGGCCCGCAACCCAGGCCTGTGCCCTGACCAGGAATCAAACCAGCGACCTTTCGGTTCGCAGTCTGGCACTTGACCCATTGAGCCATGCCAGCCAGGGCTCGTGTCTGTTGTCTAACAGGAAAGCACAGCTCCACACTGGAGACGTGCCGCAGGTACTTATATGCTACCTCATTCCATCTTCACAACAACCCTAAGAAAACAGCAGGGCAGGGATTCTTGCCCCTGTCTTACGGAAGAGGAGACCGAGACCCCTGCACCGGAGCCGTCTCTCCAGAGCCCACGGGGCTGGGCCGGCAGGAGTCAGAGGCCGGCCCCCGCCCCGGGCACAGGCCGTGGACCACGCGCCGGGGTACGTGCCTCTGCGGCTGCGGGCCACTGACGCACCGTGCCAGGCCCCCCCACGACAGCCCACATGCTAGTGAGAAAGGCTTAGAAGTGTCCCTGTATCAGAAACCTTCTCAGGAAAGCAAAAATTTATCATTGTACATCCAAAAGCTGGAAGGAAGGGGTTCGAGACGGTATTTAAATTTAGTAGTAACCAGCTTATCCAGTTATAAACTGTTTTCACGTATTAGAGTATTTTTAATTTTTAGTATGACATTCATTGATATGACTTAAATCCAGAGAGTTCCTATTAACTAAAAAATTAATGATCGCTAGAGGTGTTATGTTGACTTTAAAAAAAAAATCAATAACATACATATTTCATTCTACAATTTGAGAGAACTTACCGAATCGGACTGCTCTCAGCTTTGCTGAGGAGATGGCTAAATCCTGGGGACAGATTCTCCTTAGGGGACCGCTTGGGACTGTAGGCCACAGTCACCGGCGCCAACATGATCTCTCGTTTGGCTGCAGGAGAAGACGGAGGGGACAGGTTCTTTTCCTTCCCTACAATACACGCGTTATCCTGGCAGCACATGTACTTTCTCAGCACTTTTTTCCTAACTTTCAAAGAAATACAATTTCATTGCAAAACTTTTTGAAAGATAAGAGCATAAAAAATAAAAGTGAAACAACTCGCGGCCCTCACTCAGAACTGGTTTTTCAGGATTTGGGGAGTCTGCCGGAAACGGTGCAGACGCCAGAGCCCGGCCGTTCTTCCCTGTGCCAGCCGTGCGGGCGCCAGCCCGGCTGCCAGGGGGCTGAACACTGAGCGCATAGAAGCCCGGGGTTTAGACTTTAAAACCGCACCTGTAATTGACCAGAGAGCGAGGTGCTGGGCGCCGGGGAACGCCAGGGGGCCACCCGAGGGAGGCTCGATTCCGCAGGCCCGCTTAAAGGAGCCCGTTCGGACCGCCGTTTCGTGAGAGGGTCGTTCACGGCCGGCGTGTCCCACACCTCGCCCTTCCTTCCCTCTCTCAAGAAAGTAAATACATAGTTGTTCACGATGTCAAAAACTCAAGTGATATTAGCTGCAAAAATTGGCTGGACACACAAAAAACCTCACTCAATAAACGGATCATGTTTTTAGTGACAGCCACAGGACCTGGGCGGTCCGTGTGCGTCCTGAGGCCGGCTTAGGGGCCTGCACCCAGAGCGCCCCCTGGGCGGGCGCATGGAGGGCGCCACGGAGTCAGGCCACGCGTGCGCGGGGCTGGACCGCGCGGGGCGCCTGTGTGGGAGGCACGGCCTCGGGCTTACTCGGAGCGCTGGATTTTCGCGTGGAAGGCGGCAGAGAGGACGACCTCTGTGAGGCAGAAGCAACTCGCTTTGGTCTTTGTTGGGCACATTTCTCTGGGGATCGACTTGCACCAGCAGCTGTTTCAGTTGGCTGGGGGTTCACTAATTCTGTGAGACAAATGTAAAAAATCATCATCATCATCATCAAACAAGACAAACCCCACACCAGTCAGCTGCCTTTGTGACCAGAAGGCCAGCCCGGCAGGCGGCTCCTCCCCCTACGCAGGTCGTGCGGGCCCCTTGCAAACGCACCCAGCACAGATCAAAGTGCCGGGCAAGAGGGACGCGTTCTCTCAGTGCCCTGTTTGCACAGGCATCCCAGGTGATTTCTAAAGCGTTTATTTTTAGAAAGCAGGTCACTAATTTCTGTACTAGGAGATGCGGCTTTGGGAGCGACAGCAAAGATGTTCCTGCCAGGCCACGCGGGCAAGGGGTCGGCGCGAGGAGCGGCGGCGGCTCCAGCCCGCGAACCGACAGCGCCTTCACGGTGCTCCCGTCCGGCCCCTGGACGCGGGGGCCCCTCCCGCCTCCGGAAACCACGGGTCTGCCACAGCTTTCTGTGGAAGACCAGCGGGCATAGAAGTTTTCCAAACAGCCTTAGGAATGCCACAGGACTCTTTAAGAATCAGAATGTAATACAGAACCTGCTTTTATAAAAGATACATGTCATGCCGTGACTCTGATAAACTATTCACTAGAGGACTTGATTATCTATGAAATGGGGCTGAAGCAGCAATAAAATAATCTTTTTATTTCATTGCCTGGGGAATTCCATTTTAAAGGAGGTAATATCACTGGGGGGAAAGGAATATATCTATAATCTATATACATTTACATCAAAAAGGGAATAAAACACTTACTATGGGAAGCGTCCTCTTTCTCTGTCTGTGTACCCCAATTTTTAAATATTTTTTCTTCATCAAGTTCTTTCAAGGCTCTAATGATCGGGGTGTCTGAAGTCTCTCTTTGTTTTTTAAAAAATAAGTTTGCTGACGAACTTCCAGGTGAAGAATCCTTCTCCGGGGGAGAATGGTACCTTCAACGACAGTTGTGAGACACGACCGTGTTCAGTGCTGGAGACCAAACCGCTACGCCCGCTCCGTGCGTCGAGGCCCGGCCCCCAGTGTGAAGGGTTTCGAGGCGGGGCCTTCGGAGCCGACCTTCCGTCAGAGGACACCCAGAGGGCGGAGTCCCGGGGCTGGCAGGTGCCCCAGCGAAAAAGGAGAGGCCAGGCCTATCTCTCCTGTCCCTCCCGCTCCTCCCTCTCTCTGCACCAAGGAGAGGCCCAGCGAGGACACAGCCGGGAGGCCCCCGCGGAGAGGCCGCCCACGCCGGCTCCCTGAGCCCAGGCCTCTCGCCGCCAGGGCCGCAGCAATCAGGTGCCCGCTGCTGGAGCGCCCGGCTGCGGGGGCCCGTGGCAGCAGCCGGCTCGGGCATGCCCACTCCAGGGGTGCTGGGGGACAGCAGCAGAGCCGACAGCTGTGCCCGTGGCGAGCACGCACACTTCACAATGCACACAGAGCGGGGCCTGTGTGTGAGGGCCCGGCTTCCCCGTTTTCTCACCCAGCACAGAAGAAACGTCCCATTTCTAGGGCACCCTGAAGCCAACAGATGAGGCTGCTCACGGGGGGCTGGGTGATTGGGGTGCACAGACTGACATCCTGCTCTGACTGCCGGCCCGCGGGGGGCGCGCCACGTGCCAGGAGCACCCACGGGGCCCACGGTCACAGCCCACGGCAGGGAACTGCCCAGAAATAAAAATCAGGTCCTTAAACTGAGTCCACTGAGGAAACAAGAAGGCGGCTCTTCACGTCTCCCTGAATGTCCAAAGGCAGCTGGGGTCTCCAGGAAAGGCGGCCGTCCCGCCGCAGGGTCTTCAACAGCGACTTACCCCGGAGCACAGGCGTCCTCCCGCCGGCTGGCCGCTGTCCTGTCCTGGACGTCCAGGGGCTGGCCCGTGAAGATGGAGTACTCTGCCCCCGGAATGAGCCACTTCCGCCTGCTGACGTCCGAGGTGGCCAGTGTGCTGTGGGGACAAGGGGGAGCTGGGCGCCACGAGCTCTGTGCTTCCATTTAAACGGGCACAGACTGAGAACACCCTGCCCTGGAAGACGACTCACACGTGCACAGCGACCGCGAAGCCGCACAGAGCGCCATGCTGCACGCACATGGGCCCCACACGACGGCGCGAAGGTGGAGCCGCACCGCTGTTTCGGCGTCTGCACCCCGTTACCGTTCCTGGCCCCAAGCCCAGGTCCCCGGGCTCACACACCCACACAACTGGGAATGGAACCAGTGACCTTTTGGGCCGCAGGCCAGCGCTCAGTCCACTGAGGCACACCAGTCTGGGCCAAAGTTTTCTGCTGGAACGAGGCATCCCAGCGCTGGCTGGGGACACTCAGGCCACACCAGCCCCCACACCGTTTTCTGTCCCGCAGAGCTCCTTCCTGCCTCAGGACAGGGCAGGGCTGGCGTCTCCGCCTGGAGCCCCCCGCCCCGCCCCTGGCCTCAGGCCTCCCATGGCAACAGCTCCATACACGCCCGCCACTCTGCCCCAGGCCTCTGGCCCCTGCAGGACAGGCCCTCCCTGAGGGCAGCCTCAGCCTTCCCGTTCGTGCTCTCAATGCTCCGTTTCAGCGCCTGACATCTATTTCTTCCTTCAAGAATTCCCTATGTTGTCCTGGCTGGTGTGGCCCAGTGGGCTGAGCACTGGCCTGCAAACCAGAAGGTCACCGGTTTGATTCCCAGTCAGGGCACATGTCTGGGTTGGGGGCATGCAAGCGGCAACCACCCAATGTTTCTCTAGCACATCGAGTTTCTCTCCCTCTCTTTCTCCCTCCCTTCCCCTCTCTCTAAAATATAAATAAATAAAACCTTTAAAAAAAACTATGTTCTACTAAGACTAACAAAGATCTAGAGAAAGTTTCTCATTTAACAATTACAACTTAGGTTAAAATTTACAATTTAACAATCTCTTTCAAATAAGTATTATTACAAAGTTACTACTTATTAATATTCTTTATTTACACCTAAACCATAAAAACCAATCTAACACGGGAAAAACTTACTCTGTAAATGTATCATCAAGATAATGCTTGGATTACAGCAAAGCTAATTTTGAAAAACTAAGAAGGAAAATCCATACAATCTAATGATAATCCATCTTTATAGGTCTTTCCATTAATTTGGGAATAAAATTTCTGGACTTTTAGGGCTAAAAGACCTGGCACAATGTCCTTGTTTTTACAGATAAAAAAACTGAGCTCCAAGAAAAATTAAGTGATTTGCCTACGGTCATATAGCTGGGCAGAGTCAAAAAAGAGAAACGCCCATGATCCCTTACTCCTCATCTGATTCTACCACTTCCTCCTTTTCGCAAATGCCTCTGTGGAAGAGCTTTTACGGTACCTATCAAGTAGATGCTTCTACACATCTAAATTCTATCATGACATTAAATTCCGATTTACTTATGACTTAGACAGATGAGCTTCTGAGCTCACTAACAGGGCGCACCTATCTCTGGCTTTAGAGATCAAACGGAGTCACTTACTTGGCATGCGAGGGCCTCGTGGGAGCTCTACAATTATGGCGAAGGCTCAACATGTTTTCATGCTCTACTTGCTTGACCTGAGCTTCCAGTTTTGAAATCGTTCTAATTCGAAAGCAATAAAATACATTTTAGTACATTTCAACAACTTTAAAATATAGCTCAACTACAAATTACTTATTTAACAGGCCCATCTAGAAAAGGGGAGACAGAGGAGCTGCAAGTCCATAAACCTTTTCACAGTAAAATTCCATTAACTTTACAAAGCTAAACAGAGCCAGAGAGGATAAGCAGAAAGGCGAACACATGGAACTGTGCAGGGGAGCACCTTCCTGCCCTGCAACCCAAGAAAAAGGAACCAAATAAATAGCCTTAATGTAGCGAGTGAAAAACATTACAAATATGCCTACAGCTCAAAACATACAACGTATAAGTTAAATATAAAATAAGTTCAAATATTCCAATGAATTGTACTTCTAAGGTGTTTAACTCTAACACATATATGTTCACGCATTTGAAACATGCAGGGTCCGGCAGGAGGAAGGCCTGCGTGAGCGTGGTCGGTAGGGTGATAATATGGGTGTGATGATTTATAGCTTTAATTGGAACATTTCACCTAAGATGTCATATGGCGTGCTTGAGTGTGATACAGTTATGTTACGGAATTACATGCTTATGACTTTGTAATAAAAGGGGGGCGTTGTCTGTGCCCGACTCTGCACATAGGTTCATACTTTCAGAAAAAAGGAAGTGGGCTTAACTTCCAATAACTGAGCTATGAAAAAGAACCTCCTAATTTTTAAACTGCAAAGGTTAAACTTGCCCACACACATCGACTTCAGGGCAGCTCATCAAATTGGCGCCATGTTCAGAGTAAAAGCCCATTTTCAGGTTACCAACAGGAAACGCGCACTGCGGCCAGTCAACTGCTGTGAGCGCGCCCTGCATCCTCCCTGTTCTGCTCAACTTTGCACGCGCCTCCCACCCACAGCACGGCAAGGCCGGCCTGACGGCGCAGCCGCACTGGGCCCGAGGGGGCCCACGGGCGCCGGGGCACTTGCCCGCCCCCACCCTGCGGGAAGCCACCCAGAGCGCAGCACAGCCTCCGAATGAGGGACGCTACTATCTCCAAAGACCGAAACACGCTCCAGAGCCAATTAGAAATAGTCAGTCATTGGCCACAGGGACCGTTTATGACTCCGTTCCTACCTAATTAAGCAAATCCAATCATGAATATGGTCCCCAAGCCAGGTCTTTAAGAAAGTAGATGACCACAAAATCGGTGTGAATGCTGTTCTTTTGGGAGCGCAAAAATTATTCCATGACTTTGACTGCTTCTTAGAATTCCTTTCAACACTTCACCTATGCTGAGAAAATCTGTGGTGTTTGGGGAAATGCACACCTGTTAACGCCTGGCTGCCAATGCGTTCTAATCATTTACAAATAATCCTCTTCGGCTAAAATTAGATGTATTTCTATGTTGAGAAGATTAGGATAAAACCTAATCTCAAAGGGCTTTAAAATCCTTAAGAAAAACTTTCTTTTCATCACCGTCAACACAGACACTGTGAGTTAAAACAACAATTAGAGGTGTTTGCTCATTAGTAAGACAATGCACCTACCTTTTCAAATCAGAAATCTGAGTCTGTGCATCAAGCAATTTATTCTCTGTTGTATTTAATGCATCCTATGAAAAGAGAAGGAAAAGTCAGAGAACTGTAAGATAAATATTCAAATGTAGTCCCTATATTTAAAACGCAAAGTACCAAACTAATCTAAGGCTGCACCAGGAAGCTACAAAGAAGCGACACGGCTGCCCAGCAAGCCCGGCGCCGGAGCAGGGCCACAGGCAGAGGCCAGGGAAGGCGGAGGTCAGACCCCGTGCGCAACAGGGAGAGCCCTGCGCTTTGCTCGGTCAGACACAACTCAGGGTTAAAATGTTAAAAAGGACAGATTTTACCCACAGGCTTGACCAAAGGTCTCTGTCAGGGGCAAAACGAACGCCCGTGACAACAGGGTCTCCCAGGCGAGGACTCAGGGCGGCCGGCTGGGCGGCCGTCTCACTGCCCCGAACGACGCAGCCAGAGCACCTTACAGCGCCGCTGTGGGGTCGCAGGCAGTGCATGTGTAGCTTCGAACAGAGCTTTAATTAAGGGTTCAAACACAATCAACAAGCTCGACCCCACAAAAAGCCAGTGCTTTGAAAAACAAAACTTTATATTTAAATAGTATTATTTGCATCTGCATTGTATCTTACTCTTCTAAAAATTTTATCTCATCTCAGATGTGAGAGCCGTTCCATAAACATTTGTTGAATTAACAAATCCGCTCAAGTCGCAGGGGCCGGACGTTTGCAAACAAGCCTGTGGACATAGAGGGGGGGCCCAGGGGGTCCCAACAGCTGCGTGGGCGTGGGGCGGGGCGGGGAGGGCAGGAAGTAGGGAGCCGGGTCCCGTCTCCAAGCCAGCGCCGCGCCCTCGCCTGGGTTCACAGCACAGACGGGGCCATTGTTACCTTCGCTCTTGCGTGTTCCTTTCCCAGGGACTCATACTCTCCTAACAGCTACAGGGAAAACAAAGAATTGCACCACAAAGTTATTCACTGTAATGTCAACTGAAGGCTACGCTATAAAACAACTGCCCCTCCTCTTTAAAAACGCCAAAGTCATGACAGAGAAAGGTTAACTCGGGTTGATGGCAACTAAAGCAGTAAGAGCCATGGAGAGGAAGCGTGACCCTGGGCTGGGAGAAGTGTCACGAAGAACAGTCGGGTGCGGACGGCGTCGCTTAGACTTCTGTCTGTGCATGGCTCCTCTGTGGCTGTGGAACGCTTTTGGACATGGAAGGTCTCCAGATTTGTCTCCGTGCCTCCTTCTTCTCAGGAGACTTACAAGCACAGAAAGACGCAAAGGCAGCCCCCAGGGCAAGGGTGAAGGCAGCTGGGGGCACCAGCAGCGGCCCCTCCCGGCAGCCAGTTCGGCCTGGAGCAAAGGAGGTGGGGGGCGGGCGGGGGGCGCCCGGTGCTAGGCCTCTGGGAATCAAAGCAGCTTCAAAAAAAACCAAGGCAATTACTACTTCTAGGAAAAGTTAAAGTTGTAAGAGAAAGGAAATGTAATCACTGTCCACCGTAGCTTAGCTCTGCACAGTATTTACACCGACCTAAGTAAAACTGAATCTCGCCCTGGCTGGCGTGACTCAGCGGATTGAGCGCCGGCCTGAGAACCAAAGGGTGGCAGGTGCGACCCCCAGCCAGGGCATGTGCCCGGGTTGCAGGCCAACAGGCAACCCATCGATGCTTCACTCCCACGTGACATTTCTCTCCCTCTTTCTTTCTCCCTTCCACTCCCTCTAAAAATAAATAAAGAAAATCTTGTTTTAAAAATACTGAATCCTGATCTAACTAGAAATGATAACATAGCACATTTCAAACGGTAGACACCACTGACTAGAAATCACACCGTTATTTTATTGACTGTAAGAGAAAAAACGAAGGCACCTCCCTGGCGCAGTAGGCAGTGCATCAGCCTCATGAAAGAGAAAAAGTGCTGTTGCTAATTAAAATATGACACGATGGGGTAAAGATGCACTCCAGTTTCAGAGTTGGTAAAATGCAAAATCGGCTTCTTAACGTCAGCCTCATACATTAACCACAGAGGGAGGAGGGGAGAGGGGCCTGCCCTGGGGGCGATGGTGTAAGAAAGCCACACTGTAGCGATTTGCAAAAATAAGTAAATAAAAAAGAAAGCCACACTGGGCCCCACTCTGAAGTGAGTCAATAATGTCTCTACTGCCTGGATTGACGGGGAAACAAGGAAGGAATCATCTAAGTTTCCTTTTCCGAAACGAAAGACGCTAGAAGAAAGGTGAAAGAGCAGAGCGCCACGGCCGCCGGGGTGCGCGCTCCGAGGTGGAGAGGGGAGGAGACTTGTTTTTCATTTGAGATTTGACTATTTAAACCGTTTTCACGTGTTACTGGTATGAAAGCAAGTTTTAAAAAATGACAGCAATACGAATCAAACCTAAAGCTATCAGGAAGAAGCTTCCGATAGTCAAAATGCTTTTAGACTTTTTTAGGTACCATGACAAAAGATATTAAGAAAAACTTAAAAAGTGGTGGCAGGAAAATGGAGACAAATGTATTTGAACAATAAAAAAAGAAAAAAGAAAAACTTAGAAAAAAATATACAACCTGAAACCTACTCCAGTTTCACTGATATGCAAATCCAATTGTAGGTGAAATTAAATCGAAGGGAAAAAATTCAGTCAACCCTGTCGTCAACCTGGTTCATTCTCCCGCCTCCAAAGTGGACCTGCCGGGGACAGAGGCGTGGGCGGGCGGGAGAGCCGCCGCCGGCTGGAGAGCTGTGACTTCCTGCTCCGCCTAAGTCCCGCCCCACCGTCCCGCCCCCCCCCCCCCCAGCCTCCCTCAGACGGGTGTACACTTTTGCAGCTGCAGTGAAGTTATGTAAAACAAAAATAAATGTGGAAAAAGTCATAAGAGCTTCTAAAATTACTTCAGCCAACTGTGTCACTCAGTTATCATTGTGTGTCACTTACATCTTGAAACATTTTGTTTTCCTGTTTTAGTCTAGCGTCTTTGTCATCTGAGAGTTTGTACGCATTCTCAAACGCTTCTTCCAAGTCCTGCAGCCTAGATTTTAGTCGGATGATGGTATTGTCTTTTTCTTTATTGCTTGTTCTCATTTCCTCGATCCGTTCCTGCAGAATTTTGGAGGCACTGCTGGCTGCACTGAGGCGTTCTCTGAAATCACTCTGTAAAACACAGACAAGGGTGATAAACTGTTTTTCATTAAAAAAAATGGATGTCTCATAGCAGCTAATAAATTGTGGGCATTAAAATGTAAAAGAAAAGCAATAAAACAAAACATAAAATGGAAACCAACAAATCCGACATTTTGTTATAGCTGAGACGGAAACGAGACAGGATGATGCCACGGGGCACCGTCTCAGAGTGCGGACGGGAAGCCACCGTCCGAGGCACTCGGACCCCAGGGCTCACCTGTGGACCGCTTCGCGAGGAAAAGACAACCATGGCTGCTGGGAAACAGATTCTGGAAGTGCAGCTGGAATTTGTTGCCCCACATTAACATTTAGGGGCAAAGGTGCAGGTCTTACCCTATTCTCTCACTTAGTATGAAAATAAAAGGAAAAATTAAAAATGCCCCTGATATGTCAATACTCATTCAAGAGTCACTTCTTGGCTGTGCACTAGGCGCCACGCACTATGGCGGCTAGGAGGCGGAGACCGACAAGAAGACAGGCCCCTGACTCCAGGAAGTTTAGAGCTCAGGAGGAGACGGAGGCAACTAAAACACCCAAGGCAAAGAAACAGTGCCCAGGGCATAACCGACGCTTTCCGCCGGGACGCTGTTTATAGGGTTACACGCGGAAGAGGAAAACTTGGTACCACGTGAAAAGGACCTTACATATTTAAGTGTGAAAGTTTATACATTTCTTGTCGTGAATATAAGAAAATGGAAAACACCTACGTAAACTCTTATGCACAAATGTGCATAACATTGTCATTCATGCTCGTCAGAAAGTGAGAGCCACCCAAACGCCTGCCGCCTAAGGGCTGGGTAAGTAAAAGGAGGTCTGTCGGCCATACAGTGGGTTATTATCGGCCACAGGGAAAGAAGGAAACGCCGACCCCTGTCGCAACATGGGTGGGCCCTGGAAAACCTGACGCTGAGTGAGAGAAGCCAGACCCAAAAAGCCGCATGGGTGTGGTTCCATTTATGTCAAATGCCCAGCACAGGGCCACCCACAGGGACCGAAGGCAGACCGGCGGGCAGCGGAGAAGGAAGTGTGCGGGCTCACGGCTAAGCGGCTTGGGGTTTCTTTTTGAGTAAGAAAAACGTTCTCCAGTTGACTGCCATGATGGTTGCACAAGTTTGTGAATACACTAAAAACCATGGAGTTGTACACGTTAAAAGGGTGAGTTTTAGGATATACAAATTATATCCCAACAGAAAATAAAAATTGTAAAGGGTGAAAGTTTACAGCATCATATGAAGCTGGCAGCACTCAAAATATAAACTCAATAATAAGCCATCCTAAAGAAGAGGACAAAAAACACAAGTCGAAGTCTTTTATGGAACTTCATTTGTCTCTAAAGATCAGCTCATAAAAAGGCTTAATGTTTTTAACATGAAGACACTAACACAACAAAAAATAGAATACTTACTTACCACTTCCCTTTCCAGTAAGTTATTCTTATTTTCAAGTGTCCTCACACGACTAGTGGCTTCACTCAGAGCACCATCCAACTGGCTGCATCTAGGACCATACAGTGAAATGGAACAATCAGAAGGGCGAGTCCTCCCTGACAAGGGCCCTGGAATCTAAGCGGCAGCACACAGCCCCTGCTCCGAGTTGGCCAAGGCGCAGGGGGTTTAGTAAAACACATCCCAATGAGCACGATGACGGTATAGGATCCAGAGAAAATAATGACATAAAAAGACCCCCAGGAAACGCTAAGTGAACAAAGCGAGATGTGAACAGACACCTCCCTGCACACCTTGGCTTCACAGCAGCATTATTGGCAGTGGCCAAGAGGCAACCCAAGCGCTGCTCCCCAGGAAGGGAGCACAGGCAAGATCCGGTGCATGTACCAACGTACAAATGCACTGGAATACTATTCCGTCTTGAAAAGGAAGGCAATCCTGACACAGGCTACCACATGGGCGAACCTCGGGGTACATTAAGCTCAGTGGCATTAGCCAGTTACAAAGCGCAAATATTGTATGATTCCACGAGTGATCCAGGGGGGTCAGTTCATAGAAATTCACAGAAAACAGAATGACGGTTGCCGGGGGCTGAAACACTGGTAACACTGTTCTTGAAAGAAATACCACCAGCTAAGGGTAGGCGTGTTAACTGCATTGTTCCAATTATCGCACTGGTGCGCCCTGCCAGAGCCCACGCCCCCGGAGCCGGCCGTGTGACGCAACAGCCTGGGGCCCCAGCTGGCCCACGCTGCTCGTGTCAGGGGCCCCACGTGCAGCTCTAGTGGGAGTCTCCAATTTGCAACTCTAAGTTTGAAAAATCTGCTCTGTATGCGGACCACATCATCGGTGTCACTTAGGTGGCTCACTTCTGCAACTAAACGGCTACAACGTCCCGTCCCGTGCCCGCTGTCCTCCGGCACCCACAGCCCTGGGCTGCGGGCCGGACCGCGCCCTTCCGGGGGGGTGCGAAACGCGACGCAGTGCTGTCCGTGCGCGGGCTGCTGCCACGCCGCACCCAGGGTCCTCCCGGGACGGCCGCAGCCTGAAACCCTGACTCCCGCTCGGTCCACTCTGTTCTCTCGCTGCCTTACGCGCTCCTAGCAGCTTCCCGTTGCAAAACTGCTCTCGTTAGCAATCAGTTACTAGGGGCTGTGAACCCTGGGGACTAAGAAGGGCTCCTGGTGGCTAACTGGCCTCAAATTTAAAAAGAACAGAAAAGAGCCTGGCGGCCATTTCCGCACAGGGGCCGCCCACACAAACTGCGCGTTGTGCAGAGGCCTGCCCTGGGCTGCTGCGGGCAGAGCCAGCCTTATAAAGGGGCTCCACCTGGAGCTGCGCAGCCCTAACCTACAAGAGCAGCTCTCTTCTGACCAATCAGGACAGTGCCTCTGGACCACTCAAACTCTGAGGATGCAGCATCCTTATTTGCATGAGGACAGACCAATCAGGGACCAGGGGTGGGGAATGCAGCCTGTATAAGCCCGCTCCTCTCTAGTTTGGAGGGCACAACACACACTTTCCAATGAAGGCTGCCCTTCCCTGGCTGGCACTGAAACGCCGACTGAGACCTCTCAGAGCAGCAGGGTGGCCTTGCTGAGGCGGGGCCTGGTCCCAGGGCGGCCCGTGGGGGCCCCACAGCTGTGACGTTCCATAGCAGTGCTATCTTGGAGGCCATGCTATGTTACTGTTAAGCTATGTGTACTGAACAAAGTCTCCTTCACTGCACCCCACATGGGGAATCGCCGCTGGCACTGATCTGGCGCCACCAACCACCCATCGACGGCGCCCTCCTTGGCACCGACTCTCTAGCCTAGCAAGGTCTTCTGATAAGCCTCTTTCATATTCCTGTTTTTCAACAGGAAGTACCTGTGGTCTTGTTTGCCTTCTAGGGAAAAAAAAAAAAGAACCAACTTCTCCTAGACTGCTACCTTTTCCTTTGGTCCTAGAAAGCTTAGACTTAAAAACAAACAAACAAACAAAAAATTAAGGCCTAACTTTTTTTCTGGCTCTTCTTCAAATTGCTTCTCTCTGGCACTGCACCCGCACTGCCACCACCAACAGCAAAAGGGAAGCCGTAGGTGCTCAGGAGTAAGACAGCATGTTACCACCCACCGCAGCAACCACAGACTGCTCCTGCGAGGCTTGTTTGCCTAGAATTCTGCAGTGCAGACTGCGCACTGGACCAGGAGACTTCCGTCCCCTCCTAAACCTTTTTCAAGGGGCTTTGTCTTTTTTGCCCCAGAGAAGAAGTCTTTGCTGTCATCTAGACCTGAGCAGTTTGCAACCTAAGTCCCGTTTAATTGTAAAGTATGTTGCAACCACGCTATTATACTAATGACAATGTCTGATTTTGTCAATCACTCTAAAACAGGTGTGTAAAGCTACCCCTAGTGCGGGGCCTTTCTCCCCTGTGTCTCTACAGTTGTTTTTCTAACAGGGTAATAGCTTCCACAGATTCACGAGTGTTTAGGGACACAAAAAAGGTTGAGAACGGCCCCAGGACCCTCGACTTCTTGTTAAGGAACCATGCGCAGCACTAGCCCTCCCGTAAGTGACATTCCCCGACTCGTCCAGCGCCTGCTCAACCGCTTCAGCATTTTGCCCGTGTGAAGCGACTGTCCTGTGTCAGTTAGCGTGTCCACAAGAGGCTGGTTCCAATCTGCAGAAATAATTACTTAGGCAAATATGTTTTTGGTGTTAAAAGTTTCAAATCTGAAGCACATGCTTTCAAAATGTTTCATCATCCCAGCATCTTATACTTTGGGGAATATCATGTGTCCAAGTTGGAGAAACCCTAACAGTTAAATTTTATATGTAAGTTTTATATATATATATTTAAAGATTTTAAAGATTTTATTTTTTCTTTTATAGGGAGGGAGAAAGTGAGGGTTAGAAACATCCGTCAGTTGCCTCTTACATGCCCCCAACTGGGGCCCTGGCCCACGACACAGGCATATGCCCTGACCAGGAATCGAACCAGAAACCTCGCACTTTGCAGGACAATGTCCAACACGCTGAGCCACAATAGTCAGGGCACAGTTAAATTATATTGTTAAAACCATACTTTAATTTCCATTTTACCTGTCTACGAGAATTTGATTTGTTTTCTTCCAATCTTCAGCTGCAGACATTTCTTTTGCCTCCAGTTTCTGTTTCAAGCTATTTATTTCTGATTCATAATAAGCACGAATATCTGCGATGTGCCGAGCATGCTTTTCCTTCAGGTTCTGCCTAATGCTGTTGGTGCGGGGCAGAAAAACGTGTTAGGCAGGCACCTCCTCGCTCTCTATCCCAAGAGAGAAGCCAAGAACACAACCATTGTCCTAAGCAAAAATACAGCCTCTTTCCTTTGTATATATATAAAGATATAAATAGATTAATATACAAGTTGACTACTAGTAAAGTGAAAAAAATACATGGATTTTTACATTTTTAGAAGGTCTACCTTAAAAATGCTATGTCTTTTTTTAACTTAAGATTTTATACATTACTGAAGTTCAATAAAAATCATTTTCATCATTTAAGCAGACACCATAGAAAATCTATTAACATGACAAGTCATTCACTGAAATACATACTTAGACAATATCACAGGATCTTCCAGGGAAGTCAATGAAATGCATTCTGGGACACTGTTGGCTGTACCTGGAAGCTGGGACTGACTGACTGAGGCTGGAGTTACCATGACAGTGTTTTCTTCTTCTACCGTGTTGACCGAGATGTCATGACTAGTGAGAGTATAAACTGAGGGACACGTGGAGCTGGTCCTGCTTTCATGTGGGAACGCGTGATTTTTCCACGAGTCCACCAGTGAAGCTTTTGTATTTGGAGGGTATTTCGGGAACCCAGACGACTGAGAAGTGACATTGCTTGCTTGTGAAAACGAGTCTACGTCGGAGTGACTAGACATGCTGGGTTCTAGCACAGAGTCCGGCGAGAAGGCCATTCTGTCCACGAGGGCGTTCAAAAAGCCAGGTGGCTGAATCCCTGAAACCTGCCGGCCGGGCCTCGCGTGCAGCGTCGGATCCAGAGTCAGGACCTGGAAGCGAGACGGGCGACAGTAAGGCATCCCCCCGGCTCTCGGGGCCGGCGCTTAGGCGAGAAGGCTGCGGTCGCCCGGGAAAACACGCTGAGGAAAGTGAGAGTCGTGAGGCGCTGCAGGGCACGCGGCAGAGCGCTGACAACGTTACCTCGGGCGGACGGTCGGGGTTGGGAGCGGAAGTGAGATTCCTCTCAGGTAACTGCTTGTTTTCCCTTTGCTTTTTATGATAAATATCCTTCAGTGATGGTAGCTTCATCTCATTACTAGTATTAAACTTAAAGATACGAGACAAAATTACTTAAATGGTATTATCAACAATGAAAAAAGTTTACTGATATCAAAGTCGGCACCATAAAGAGATTTTTTAAAGATTTTAAGTAAATTGAGACTGGACTCTCGGATTTATAATAAAGGTTTGGAAGTCAGAAACTAGTAGAATGAGTCTCCCTCACAATGAAAAAGTTTTCATATCCCCTAACAATAAATATTCAAGGATCATTTGAACCTGGTTAGTTAGGAGCCTAGAACACTTTCACAATAAAATTCTTGGCAGTCCCCCTACTCAAAATAAGAACCGAGTTCTGAGATAAGAAAAGACTTCAGCAGGAAGGAATGAGGCAGGCCAGGGCCAGGGTGACTTCCTGGGACGCCAGGGGACCGCTGTCGTGAGGCGGGGCTCCCTATCCGCGCGGCCACGCTCACGGCCAGGCCGGACAGGCCAGAGGAAGGCGTTTCTGGGGCCGGCGCGGGGCCTCGCCGCGCCGGAAATGCTGCGGAGAGGCCCGCGCCCCGAGCGGTGCAGCCCTGGGCTTCGGTTGTCCAAGGCGGGAGCTACTGCGGGGTGCGACAAGGGGGCCGTTCAGCCCGGTCGGCCTCAAACCGCGGATGTTCTGTCAAACGAGCTCACGGAGTCGCTGAAGGGGCACCCTCACCTCGCGGCTTCAGCCTCCGCCCCGCTTCCACACCCAACACAGGCTCCGAGCGCCACGCGCTGTTAAGTCAACCCTACTGCTAGCTTGTGGATATGACAATTCACTATATTTTTGCGTGTGCATTAAAAGCACTCGTTTGTTCAATGTAAACCCTTAAAATTCCCCATAATCGTGTTTGGAAACGGTACGTTTTACACACCAACAAGCCTCGCAGCCCGTGCCGAGCGGCAGCGCTCTGGCCGTGGTTCCGGCCTGCGGACCCCCGCCCGGGGGCCTGGGTGACGGGCTGGCGCAGGTCTACTCAGAGCTCACGGCGGTGCAGGCCGCCGCCGGCCGCCACGTGCGTCTCGTTTCTCTTCACAGTTTAACGTCTCTGGCATGAGGCCCCCTACAATGAGTGGCACCCTCCAACGACTCCCAGTCAAGCAGCAGTTGCGACATAATCGTCACCGCCTGCTCGTAAGCACCCGTCAAAGCTGTCAACACTGGCCACCCAAGGGCCCCGCGACGCCACCGGGCCCCGAGAACCGCTGTTGAAGGGACAGCGATTCAGACGTGTTGGGCAGCAGCCCCCACCTGGGAGTCGAAAGCAGGCCAGCCCCACGGACCCGCTCAGCCAGGCAAAGCTCCACGCCGAGGCCTTTCGAGGCTTTACGAGGTCTTTACGAGACTTTACGAGGCCTGCAGAAACGCCACGTCGCCCAGGAGAATGGCAGGTGAAAAAACCCAGAAGCCAGCGCCAGAATGGAGACAGAGGAGTGCAAGCCTCTGCGGGAGAGGAGCTCCCGCCCATTTATTTCACCTGTCTTTTCCTTTTTAGGTATTACTGCGTGTAAGACTTACGTGGTAAAAATCTATGTTTAATTACAAGCCCTTTCTGAAAGAATAAAATAGAAATCCTAAGCGATGAGAAAGCACTGTGTCCATCTAACTGGTAGGCTTTTTCCTCGGGAGCCTATGGAACAGGAAGCCTTAAAGCTGGCGGCACCTCCGGGTGCACACACTGCGCAGGCGCCGGGTGCTGCGGATGAGGCCACGCGCGGGAAGCCTGCCCCGCCTCCCAGCCCTGCCCGGCCTCCCGTCCCCATCCTTCCTTTCTCCTTGGGTTTGTCTGTCCCTCTTTTTGCTCCCTTCTGGGGGTGGGTGACATGCTGGTTTCTGCCGCTCTCTGGCCTCCGAGGCCTGCGGTCTGCCGGATCCCGTCTGCCCCACGTGGGCACCTGCCCCTCGGGCTCACGGCTCTCTGGTTTCCTTGATTGGTTCTCTTTTCCCCAACCTGCTCTTCTCTCATCACCTGACCAAATCACCGACGTGAGGTATGGACCTTGATTTATGTGTATTGGAGAGTTTTATTTATTTGCTCTGAAATAAAATATTTATATTTCTCGCCGAAAAAAAATTAATGCGCCGACTAAAGTGCTCAGAATCAGAATACAAATGGGGCAGTGGGAGGTGTCCCAGGAGGGAAAGGCCAACAGGACCGAGGGCAGGAGAAGTGCACCTGTGGACCTACTGTCTTTAAAATGGTCAGCACAAAACCACCTCCTTTAATTTTGCAAAGCACCCTCTGGGCATTTTCAATTCCATTTCTAAGCCCCTTTCCTGAGGCCACATAGGTGAGGACACAGAATCTGAAAGCAGGTGACCATGAGTTAAAGCCCATGCTTGTTTATCTACCAGAAACTGGAAGCTACAGGATTTATAATGACGGCAAGGACCCATCCGCTTCGGTCATGCAGACGCACCCGATGTGGGGCTGCTCACCTGGCTTGCGGACCCAGCAGCGGAGGATGGGGCCACCGGACTGTCTGCAGCCTCGGGTAGAGAAGGGTGTGGGTCTTTCTCCAGCTTCCAGTGCGTAGGGCCTGCGCACAGCACATGGGTCGGTCACGGGTGAGGGAAGCGAATGAACGCGCTTCCAGAACGTTCTCTGCCTGAAGGGAATGAACGCAGCAAGGCCTGCGCCTTTGCCTGCCTGCGCGTAAGAGGCTGACTGCACAGGGAGAGGCTCCCACGAATGCCTCGCCGTGGGAGGGTCCTGACTTCACAATCCAAATGGTTATAAAATATGATATTACAAGTCAAGATCAACTAGCATAATTTAAAAACATTTTAAAGGCAACAGTTTCTTTAGGAACAGTACAGACTTACATGAAAGTGGTGGAAAAAATTCAGGAATTGAAATATTTATTGAGCATTTACTGGGCCAGGCTGCAGGTGGGGCAGGGAGGCTGCGACCTAAACCATGAGAACCCCACGTTATGTACAGAAAGTTAGAAAGTGGTGAGCCCCGGAGGGTAAAATTTAAAATCGGATAGAAAGAAACACGAGGGCGGGGGGCGGGGGCAGCAGCTGCTCTCTTGGAGGAGGGGTCATGGGGGCCTTGGGGAGGGGGCACAGCCGAGAAGGAGCTGGCCGTCTCAGCTGCCAGGAGGCCTGCGACTCTGTGTCCGTGCAGGGCAAGGACACCCCAGGCACAGGGAGCAGCCAGCGCAAAAGCCACAACAGGGTGTCCAACCCTTTGGCTGCTCTGGGCCACACATTAAGCACACAAACCCTAACGAAAACTGATGAGCAAAAAAAAGGATTTAAGTAAATTTACGAGTTTGGCTGGGCCACACCGTTGGCCGTCCTGGGCTGCGGACGGACAGCCCTGCACGCAGCCTCCCGCCGAGCAGGGCCGGCGCTGAGCCGGATCCCGCTGCGCCGCACTGAGGACAGGGCGCGCCGCTGCTCTAGGGGAGCGGAACCAGAACTTGGAGCAGAGGGGTCACACGGCCTGACTCCTCTGCCAAAAGGAGCGGGCAGCACAGATGGAAGCGCAGGAGGCCGGTTAGGAAGCTGCAGAAGCCCAGGTGCCAGGTGACAGGGCACTGTGACAGGGTGTCAGAGCGAGTCGGTTGGAGTCGGGCAGTTTTCTGCACGCAAAGCCAATTCCTCTGATGAAATGGATGGAGGGATGTGCGGGAAAAGGAGGCGTGATGTAAAACCCTTAGCACGAAAACAAGGCTGCCGCAGAGGGCGAGGGGCGGCCCGCGGGGCTTGCATCTCTCATCCATCCGGAGGCCCCGGAGAGCGCCGAGGAGCTGCCTGGGCCGCGGAAGCCCGCGTCTGCCGCCCAGCGCCGGGACCCCAGTAAGGCAGTCCCGGTGACCAGAGGCGCGCCCCGCGCCGCGGGCAGCGATGGGACCCCTAACTCCCTGCACGTGACTCTTAGCCGCTGGGAAACACAAGGGGTGTTAAAAAACAAAAACAAACAAAAAACCCAACTCTAAGAATGTAAGTGTCCATACCTGCTCCTGAAGCAGATGTCCAAGAGTTCGGACTTCCATCCGGTTTACTGAGGTAAAAAGCAGGAGGCTGCGTGGCGAACTCCGACTACAATTCAAAACACACGCCCGTGAGCAACAGCTGGGCGCCCCGAGGCGTCGTGGCCCAGGGCCTGCGCGCGGTGGGACCTGCCAGGGGCTTGCGCGCAGGGCCGGCGAGCCCTCTCCTTACAGGAATGCAAAACGGCGGCAATTAATAGTAAATCGCTCTCTTTTCCTACACGATTTACAAATGTTTATTCAGGTTTTCTGTGGACTTGGAAGGAAAAAACTGGGAGCAGGTATTATTCAACGAGTTCAGATTGAAAATGTATTTATAATTTGCCATCTACTTCCAAAAGAAATTTGAGATGCCTAGAATTTAAGCCTTTTCGTATAAAAATTAATGTAAGAGCTATTGTAATTCATTTTATCATTCAAACTGTAATGAACAAAGTCAACCCTGAAAGCCACAAACAATAATCAATATGAACTGTAAGCAGTGGACTATGTCTCACACACGAACGGCGGGTCCCTAGGCCCAGGAACGGCTCCAAACGGCTGGTGCGCGCGTTCACGAGAGCCTCCGAGAGGCTGTCCCCGCAGCGTCCCTGGCGCTGCCTCAGAAAGCTGCGTCTCCAAAGGGAAGCGTGTGAAAAGGCCGCTGGGCCGGCATTTTCTCTGTCCTGCCTCTGTCAGCCTGCCAGCCCCCGCGGAAGCCCCTCCGTGCGGCAATCCCGGCTGACAGCCCTGCGGACCCCTGCGAAGGTGACAGTCCCCGAGGTGGCACCGCCTGCTGAGGAGGGAAGAGGCACCTCGCCTCCTCCTCCTCAATGAGAACCTCCTGGTCCATCTTCTGTCTGCACTAAAACGCCCACCTGTCCCGACTCCTGTCCAGGCTCAGCCCTTAAAAGGCCAGGGCGAGGGGACTGGCGCCCACTAAGCGAGCGCTGCCAGGAGGCCTGCGGCCCACCTCCCGTTCCGAAGAGCGGCTGCGGGACGGCCCCACGCACTCCCCTCTGCAGACCAGGGTCAGCCAGAGCGCGCGAGAACCGGCAGCGTGGGGTGAATGCGGCCCTTCCCGAGGTGCTGGCCCAGCCTAGCCCTGCACCCGAAAACCCAGCCAGCCGGGGCGAGCCCATGTTGCCTCTGTCCCAGACAAAGCGCCAGGGAAACAGACAGACAGCAGCTTCCGGCAATCTGTATGCTAAGCAATGCCCAGTTTCAAGAGGAGCCTCGAAGTAGCTAGTACCCAAAACAAACTACCACGTATTTTTTAAAAAATTGGGCCCTGAGAGAATTCTGAGCATAAAGATCCTCCAGTCCAGCCCTGGCTGGTGTGGTTCAGTGAACTGAATGCCGGCCTGGGAACGGAAAGGTTGAGGGTTCAATTCTCAGGGCACGTGCCTGGGTTGTGGGCCAGGTCTCCAGTAGGGGGCATGCAAGAAGCAACCACACATTGATGTTTCTCTCCCTCTCTTTCTCCCTCCCTTCCCCTTTCTCTAAAAATAAATAAATAAAATCTTTTTTAAAAAAAAAAAAAAGGACCCCCTGGTCTAGACTGAACCTATAAAAAACAATGGGAGAAGAGAAAGATGAAATAAAAAAGAAAGTACCAACTTCTGTGAATCCACAGAATTCGGTTCAGAATTACACAGGTAAGAATGCATTTCAGCTCTAGGTCTTTGACTCATCAACCACATTATCTGAAATTCATTTAAAATGCGTAAATAGCAAAGGAACTTAATTTCCCCTAATGACTTAATGCCAACAATATCATTCACCTTAAAAAAAGAGAGGAATAATGCCCTGGCAGGTGTGGCTCAGTGGGTTGAGCACCAGCCTGTGAACCAAAGGGTCACCAGTTCGATTCCCAGTCAGGACACATGCTGGATTGTGGGCCAGGTCCCCAGTAAAGGGTGCACAAGAGCAACCACATGTTGATGCTTCTCTTCTTCTTTTTCCCTCCCTTCCCCTCTCTAAATAAATAAAATCTTAAAAAAATAGAGAGAGAGAGGAAAACTGAAGTATCCAGGAGATGATCAAAGAAAAGGAAACACTCACAGGGGACCATCCCCTCAACAGAGCGCCCTTCCCACCCCACAGACACCACCAGAGGCTGCTGCGCGGGCACAGGCAGGCCTGCCCTCAGCGTCTCGGCTGAGGCTCGACGACCGCCAGGCTAGGCCAGTGGCTCGCAAGCTTCACCGCCCTGGACAATCAACTTCCCAGCTCACAGGTCCCACCGGCACCACCGAGGGCTGGCCGCCTGAGGTCACAAGTAGGTTTTTTTAAAGCTCCTTGGGTGTCTCCAATGTGCAGCCAAGGACCAAATGCTGAACTACAGTCAGAAGACACCAAGATTCAGCCTGTGACTCCACCGAGTCACGGCCGCCAACCCACAGGTTACCGAGGAGGGCGTCTCCACAGGCCGAGTTCCAGGCAAGGTAAAAGTGAATAGAAACCAGTCTGTCTGGGGGCCGTCTCCCCCTCTGCCAGCCTATCGCAATGAAGAAAGCGGCCATCTCCCCGCCTCCAGGTGCTTTCGTGCCCCCGCACCGAGCAGGGGCACAGCACGCTGGGTGGCAGGCAGGCCAAGGGCATGGCCCCAGGGGCCCCGGGGCTCCCCGCAGCTCCCCCCCGCCCGTCCTCAGCACACGCCAAGCCCAGGGACTGGCGCCACCAGGGAGTCTGAGCACCACGGGGCGAGCAAGACAATGCACTGAGAGAAAAGATAAGTAAGCAGGGCCTTCTGAAGACTGAGGAACTGTCTTCTTGGGACTCCTATTCTTTCATCTTTTTCATAGGATGATGGGAAGACGGTGTCAGCTCATCAACACATGGCCAGTTCTTGAAGGTATCAAGTTCGGAAAGAAACGTGATTTTCCAATTTCAATATATTATACCTAGCAATGTTATTCTATGATAATTTAGGCCACAGGGCTTTAAAGATGTTTAAAACTTAGTATCTTTAACTCCTTAAAGAAAGCAGCTGCTAGCAAAAGGACCCCAGAAAATTTAAACACTGAATCTCTTACAACTTGGATTATATTATAAATTAAAGGTGGTCAAAACTTCAACATTTTTATATCAAGGCATCTTAAAGCCTTCACACATTCAGTACTACTTCTTACAATTTAATGGTAATACAAATTACTTGACCATTTTTTTAAACAATTAAATCAACTGCTCTCTGGTTAAATGTGAACATTTGTAGTAGAAAAAGAATTAGGGCCTTTGTAAAACACTTCGCTTTTTTTTAGTGTTTTATCCCTCATTAGTTTTGACTTCTGGGAAAGAACCAATACTTAAAGCAAATCATCGTTTCCTCTCCTTTGTGACAACTAAAGGAAGAAAAGTCAGTGGAAGAAATTAACAAGATAAAACAAAAGGCTAAAATGAGCTGTGCCAAGGGGCAGGAGGCGAACCCCCCGGATGAGCCAGACAGGGACCTGCTACCTACTTTCTCTGCGGGTGCCTTCTGGGTTTGCTCGGTCCCTTGCAAGGGTTTGGGACACCCCTCTTCGGCACGTGCTCCCTTCGGGTGGCTCTGCTTCAGCTTCTGGGCCCACGATGTTATAGCTTTACTGCTGAAAAAGAGAAGACCAAGGTTACCCCTTCAAGCGTCAGACAAAACACACGCAGATACCGCGCCAGTGGGAGGGCCGTGGGGTTGTTTTCTAACAGCAAAGAGAGGGCGGGCATTTATGGGTTCCCCAACACGTCTTTTTCCAGGTTCTCATTACTAAAGGCAGAGTGAACAAAAAGACTAACAGTGACTAGCAATCCATGTAGTCTGTGGCCAGAGAACAGAACAAAACCACGTGGCGATGCTTCTCTACAGCCAAAGCACAGTTGTAATCACAGACTAACCGTGATACTGTGCACACACACGGCTGGTGTTGCTGCGGCTACAGACCTCACTTAGGTGACACGTTTCAGAGATGTAAAACTGAAAAGCTAGGGGAAACCACATAATTTTAAATGCTTTCTTTCTTTTACAAACATTCAGCTACAGTCTCCTTTACAAAGTGCCTGGATCAATCAAAATGTCATTAAGCTTACAAATCTCTGCTTATATATAAGAAAACACAAAATTGAGTATGCTTATATATCATTTTTTTAAATAAGAGTTTATTCGAGTTTATTTGAGCCAAACAGAAGACATGCTAAGAAGCAGGATCTCAAAAGACTGAGGAAAATGCCTCTTGCTTGTGTCTAATTTTTGATTTCCAATTATATGAACATGTGCGACAAAATTCCACTGTTGATACGGTCCTACACCATCATTCTCAGCAAGTGACGAGAAAACCGAGGAGGTGTCTTCCTGGCAAGCCTCCCACCTTGAGTCCAGTGGTCTTCTAACGCCATTAGTATGTAATGTGCTTCGCTTATTTCAGTTTCCACAGGCACTAGATAAAAGACTTCAATAAAACTGAAGACTGTCCAAATACATCTCATTCTATTACAGTTCAGCTAAAAGAAGTTTTATTTACTAGATTCTAAGTATAAAGAACAAATAAAACTCCCTTCAAGCCCTGGCTGGTGCGGCTCAGTGGACTGAACACCGGCCTGCGAATCATAGGGTCGACGGTTTGATTCCCAGTGAGGGCACATCCCTGGGTTGCGGGCCAGGTCCCCAGTAGGGGGCGCGCAGGAGAGGCAACCACACATTGATGTTTCTCTCCCTCTTTTTCTCCCTCCTTCCACCTCTGTCTAAAAATAAATAAATAAATAAATAAATACTCCCTTCAAATGCAGAAATTCTACTCACCTGTTTGTTTTTCCACTGTACACTTCCGAAATCTTACTTTCACCAAGAAAACTGTGTTCAAATTCACCAGGAAAAATGGCAATATCTTCCTTTAAGGAGGCACCAAACTCTTGGGGAGAATGTATGTAGAAACGCTGGTCTCTCACGCCATCCATGGGGGACGAGGCCCAGGCGGCGGGCACCCCGCAGGGCCCGGCAGGGGCCGGCCCGGGCTCCAGGAACTCTGGGGGACCCTTCGGCCTGTGGGTGTTCAATTCTGAAACGCAAAAGGTCCCGTAGCCACTGCTCACTGAGCCGCTGTCCGCGCTGCAGTCTGGCTGGGATGCAGAGGTTTCTTGCTGCATTTCGGGTTCTTTGGACTTTGGGTAACTGAGAACAGATTCATTTCTGTCACTGTTTTCAGAAAAAAAACCCATTTGCCTTTCTGAAGCTATTGGTTTGTTTAAAGACCTTCTGTCACAGGAAGCCCACGAAGCATTGCTGCTCTGTAACTTGACTAAATTTTTTATCTCTTCCTGTATCCGCTGAAAATAAAAAGTTATAGGTTTAGGTGAGAAAGTATATTAAGCATCGCATTTTTATAAATGTTATGAAAATAATGTTCAAAATATGCTATCGCTCTAAAAATCATGCACATGCTTTCTCTTTAGCGGATAAACCCACGGATGTCAAGCGGGCACCGGCCCTCCCGCAAGCCGGACGCGGCGGAAGGAGCCCGAAGCGAGGGGCGACTCACGCGGACTTGGCTGCGGAGCTGCTCCTGCCGGGCGGCTACCTGCTCCTGGCACTGCTTCTCCACCAGACTGAGGAGCTGTAGCCACCTGGCCTATTAAATGATACAACGTTTTAATTAAAATCATTTTTAACCTCGTATTTCGCAGAAAAATCCCCTCAGTGGGAAAGGGCCTTTTTAAAAGTGTTTCTAATGTCAAATTTGTAAGAGGAATTAAAGAGCCATAAAACCATCTGTGATGCCAAACGACTAGGACACAGGCCTGGGTGCCCCTCGCTCGTGGGGCGGACGCAAGGGGCCGGGTAGATCCCCTACTCCGGGCGGCACCCGAGCTCGATATCCTGCGCGGTCCCTTCAAACCAAGAGCGGGCAGGGCACGCTGTCTGTTTTCCAGGCTCCTCCTCCTTTCCTCGGAACGGCCAACCATTTTCTTAAATACTAACTTGTAACCAAAAAAGAATCCCAAGAGATCATTTGGCATGATGAGATTTTAACCTCTAATCTATCTTTCTTAAAGTGAAAATCCCCTTTCAAAGTCAGATACTGAAGTGCTTTAAAGCAGGACCGCTGGAAAGGGGACGAGCGAGCGACTGCCGACCTGCGAGCGGGCCTGCGCACCGCGCCGCCTCTCGCGGGGCCTGGGCAAGGCTCCTTCCCACCTGGATCAAAAGAACCTTCCCAAGTTAAGCAGTGATAGACTTAAGAACTCCAGGAGGCAGTCTTTAACTACAACAACAACAAAGCCTGGTTCAAATGTCCACAAAGAAATCAGACCCTGCGCAGAGCTCTTCGCTGCTTAAGTGCGGGAAAGTTTCCTGTTTTAACAGTGGGGGCCAGCCCCGCACCGGGGGCAGAAATCACACAGATGCTACCATTGCAAAAGGAAGGTGGAAACATCGAGTCCAGGGAAAGGAGTCAGGCACAAGACTTGCACAACCCTTGCCCTCCCACTCTCTCTAAACCACCACACTACACGCTCTATCAGAGGCTTTTGTTTTCGTAGCCAACAAAAATATGATAAAACACGTGAAACAAATTTGAGAAATTTTACAGAAATGGCCAGAAGGATATTTCATACTCTGTCAAACTAAGAAATATCTTAAGAAACTTCACTGAATAATCAATTACATGCTTGCATTACAAAACTTAAGTAGTCCATCATTGTTAAACATGAAAAAAATAACACAAATTATTGTTCTACCCCTGGCTGGGTAGCTCCGTTGGTTAGAGCATTGTCCCGATACACCAAGGTTGTAGGTTCAATCCCTGATCAGGGCACATACAAGAATCAACCATGAATGCATAAGTAAGGGGAACAACAAGTTGATGTTTCCTTCTCTCTCTCTCAAAATAATTTTTTTTTAAACTATGGTTCCAAAAGTATGATTAACATTTAAAACAAAATCTCTTATATTCTAAATGAAGAGTTTAATAATAATGTTTTATACATTTCTATTAAGCATTACCAAATCTAGCCTTGGAAAAATCTATCCTGGGCATTATTCCATGAAGAAAAATTGATATATACAAAGTATTCTCTTAACTAAGTTTTTATATCACAATTTCACCTATGGACCACTGCCCTGAAAACTCAATATAATTCCACATAGAAGCCTTAATTTATAAAAGTCTTTTGAATGCTCTAACTTAAGTTTTTCGAAATGATGACAATTTCTTATTAGTTCCTTAAAACATCAGGATCCATAACAGCATTAATGACTTCCAATTTCTCCAAACAAAGACACATTTAGTTCCCATTTAAAATATAACATAGTATGTTTAATCACTAGTATATTGTTAAGACACACTTTTGATCACCTTTTTCACATTCAGTATCATTTCCCAACGAATATACTCAGTCACTTTGTGGTAATAACTAAAGTGTCATGCTCTTCAGGATATAAATGGCTAACAATTTAGAGTTTAGGAGTTTAGTAGAGGCAAGTTTATAGTTATCTTAAAGTTCAAAAAAACCAAAACTAGCTACCTCACAGGTTCCCCACAGTTCCGAGTCAGCCTTCCCACCGTCCCGGAGCTCTTGCATTAAAGAGGCTGGGACTTCAGCGCTGCCTTCAATCGCAGACGGTCTGGTCTTCCCTGAGAAAGAGGACACCCCATTTGTACTAAGGTGGGGACTACTTCTGTTGAAACATAAATAATTCAAATGGTTTTCTTCATTCTACCAACATGTTGAATAATTCAGCAGTTCAAGATTTAGCAGAGCAGTACAAAACCACTGATATTTAATCCTTCTTAATGGCACCTCATTTGTTGAAAATCTGATCCCAAGTTTGTCCATGAAAGAAAAATAGCAGTATAAAGACAGGCACATTTAATTTTTTTTCAAGAGCACAACAGAAAGGCCTTTTTCAAAAGTGAGCAAATACTCGGAAGTACCAGCAGAAAGTAAAAGTTTCTGCTAAATAACAAGAAACATCGCCAGCCTCCGCGATATGAATGATCGCCAGGGATTGTTTCCTCCGCTGGGAGAGCAGCCGTTCACGGCTGTGGAGATTCTCTCCCCACTGCCCAGAAAGGCGGTGGAGTCCTGTTAATTGGATCCTTCTAATTGGGTGTGATAAGCGGATGCTTATCTCTGCACATCTCTGAATAAAAGTTGTGCCAAGCAAATTAGAAGCAAACATCCAGGACGAGTTGAGCCTATTCAGTGTGTAAAACACTGCTGATTCTTTCCAGGGGAACTTGCTTTATGAAAGCACAAAATATGTAGTTAAGAACATTAAAATTTATTTAAATTCCATTTTTATTTCTTTATTGATACTGTTTCACAAAGAATTTGTGAGAGAGAGGACACTAATGAGAATAACAGCACAGCAGAATTAGGATCAAGGAAAATATTAATAAAAATTCAAGGGGAAGGACAGAATATGTTGTCCATTAGAGGTTTGTACTGATTGAGTTTAATTTTGACCAATTTAACTGCAGTCACAGTGAAAAGGGAGGCAAGTTCAGTTACAATTTTCACTGGAAAGGAACACTTGGGTTCCCCCCAGCACATCAGACGCTAGGTTCCAAAAGGGATTCCTTCTAGAAATGGGCTTCCAAAGGCCCGCCAGGCGACACAGGACACAAAACAGGCGGCCAACGCTCAGCAAGTGGGGCCGGGTGAGCTGGGCAGACATGCCTTCTGCCCCTGCCCAGGCGTCCGCCTTCGCCCTCCTTTAATTTACACTTCCTCCTTCTATGTATTTTTGTGAGCTGCCTTAAACTCCTCCTGTGGAGGGTGGAGAATGAACAAGTTTTTAAAGGAATTTATTTATTTATAATACACAATTTCTTTTTTTAAGTTTTTTATTGTTATTCTATTACAGCTGCCCCGATTTTCCCCCCTCTGCCCTCCTCCACCCGTCTCAGGCCCCCACTGCCCCCACGGCCGATCGCCACGCCACTGTCCAAGTCCGCAGGCCATTGCGCGTGCTCTTGAGCCCCTTCTTCCACCCTCATCCCCCTCCCCCGCCCCTCTGACCACTGTCAGGCTGCTGTTCCCTGTTTTCCTGCCTGTGGCCCTATTTTGTTCCTTAGTTAATTTTGTTCATTAGCATCCTCTTATGGGTGAGATCATATGGTATTTGTCTTTCACCGGCTGGCTTATTTCACTTAGCATAATTTCTTCAAGACCTATTGTGTGTAAGGGTATTTGCCCCTTTACCCACAGGCCCTAGCCTGCTGTCTTCACTTTATTGAGCCTGCTTTTTATACTTGACCGTCTCTAATAGAGCCTGCCTCTTGGCTGTTTTTCAGCTACTATAACTTTAGAAAATAAATAATAAGCTTGTCAGACTATGTACAAAATCAGAACAAACAGGACCTGATTAAAAACCAACCAAACGTGGGATCATTGAAAAAGAAATGCATTGTTTGGCAGCATCTATTTTGTCAGCCTGGTCTGGTTTTTTGTTTGTTTTTTTTGTTTTTCCTAACTTCATAGTATTCAATTTTAATTGCTGCTTCCCAGATTGATGAGCTAGTTCTGCAATAGTATACATTGTTTGTTTCGTTAACTTAAAAACATAGAAACAATATTTAAGCAACTAAATTTTAAAGATATTCTTGTAATTTACCAAGAACAAAAAAGTGTACAAACACTAGAACTGGCAAAAACAAGTTCTTTTTCGCAATATCCCCCATGCAAAATTACACACCTCTGGCAGAAATAAAGAACATGGGAGTGCTAAAACTGTTCTCATCTGTCCTTAACAGTTACTGATCGTAGTTTTTTGTTGTTTGTTTTTAATGCAGATCAGTACTGTGGCACTGTTTGCCCTGGCTGGTGTGGCTCAGCTGATTGAGTGCTGGCCTCCGAGCCAAATGGTCGCTAGTTCGATTCCCAGTCAGGGCTCATGCCTAGGTTGTGGGCCAGGTCCCCAGTTGGGGGTATGCAAGAGGCAATCATGTATCTCTAAAACATTGCTGTTCCTCTCCCTCTCTTTATCCCTCCCTTCCCCTCTCTCTAAAAAGGTAAATAAATAAAAATCTTTAAAAAATATATCAAAAAAATAAAAGTACTATGACACTATTTGGATAAATTGGTAATCCATGCAAATAAATTTATTTTTATTTGTTAATACAGATTTTAAAAATCTATCTATCCCATTCTTACCTATTAGTATTTAAGTTCGGTCCAAGAGGATAGGGAGAATTTTTTATATCAAATTCTACAGAAGATGAAGCTTTTTGTGAGGGTTTCACCAAGTCAAAATCTTCCATAGTGTACTGAAACTGTTATGCTCTCTTATTTGAAAGTGTAGGTTCTTTCAGTGTTTGAAGAAACTGAATCCGGGTCATCTTCAGAGGCTTCATCGTCTATAACCATTTTCAGTTGCTAACATTCAGAACTGTGAAATATCCTAAGCTCCCAAGAGTCTGAAAATGAATGGGGAAAAAAAGATACTACTAAAAAGCCACTAAACCTGGCAACTATCTTGTCATGACTTTGGGTACCTTGATCCTTTCATACAAGTCTAGATTAAGGAGAGCAATATCATTCCTAAAAGCCAAAATGCAGAAACAACTCAAATGTCCATCAGCTGAAGAATGGATAAACAAATGTGGTATATCCATATAAAGGAATCTTTTTCAGCCATAAAAAGGAATGAGGTACTAAAAAAAAAAGAAAGAAAGAATGAAATGAAGTAGTGAAACATGCTACAATGTGGATGAACACACTACAACGTGAAAAGTTCTAGAATCAGATGGTGGTGATGGTTGCACAACTCTGTAAATATACCAAAAAACAATGAATTGTATACTTTTACTAAAGTGAATTTTATGATATGTGAATTAGATTTCAATTTAAAAATCTACAATAATGGTGATTTTCAAAATAGCATCATCTTTTCCAGCTAATATCACAGAATTGTACGTGTTTAATAAGGTTCTAGACACAATGCTACTAGGTAACAATTGGAATACTTACATGCCTCGTCCGTTTGTTTAATAAATTCTTGCTTGTTGACTTATACAGTGAATAGATGAATAGGAACTGCTTAGTATTTAATTTAGTATTGCAAACAGCCAGTTAAACTGTTACCCACGGTTGTTTCCCACGGCTGGAAGGTGGTGGTGGAAGGAATGCATTTCGCACTACATTGCTTTTTGTACCAGGTGCGCGCATTACTTCTTTAAGATTAAATTATTCACGGGATCCAAGAAAACTGAACTGACGCTAGGTATACAGAGGCATATTGGCTTTAACACAATACACCCTTTTCTCGGGAAATTCATGTATTAAAAAAATTAAAACAAGGGAAAAAGAAAACCTATGCTGCTTACAAAATGGAAAGTTTAGGGAATGAAATAGAGAAAAATTATCTAGTATTCTGGCTCCTCTAGATTCCCACCTGCTGGGCCTGGTTTTACAAAGCACGACCTTAAAGACATCATCTCATAAAGGACCCATGGCCTTCAGGGACAAGCATGCGAGCCAAGGGTAACCCGACCTAACTCAATGGGTTTCTCCCCAGTGGCTTCAGCCCATCACCAACGACAAATGGGGTATTGAAAACGTCAGGGGCTGCCCCTTCCAACTGGCAACGAAAATACCTGGATTCAAATCACCTTGCTCTTCTAACAGAAAAACACAAGCTCCCTAGGGACGAGGATCCGCCACCCATCTATTCTTCCCCAGCTGAGATCATCCGGATGCAGTGGATCCAGACGGAAAACCACTTTAAACGCAATGATGTGTCTCCAACCGGGAGGGGGGGAGTTGTAGGGCGGGGGTGGTCCCGATATACAATGCAAAAAAAAAAAAAATTTTTTTTTTAAGAAAACTTCATGGAGAATAGAAGAACAGAGACATTTTTGTATTTCACTGCAGCAAAATATGACGCTTTTGGTCCCCCCAACCACTAGGGGGAAAAAAAGGAGCTGGGGGAAAGGCGAACGGCTCATCGGCGCCTGCTGATGCTATTATTAAGTTAACGTGCAGTTCTGCTTTGTTGGGAGCCTGATGGGAAAAAAGAGCTAACTAATTTCAGAGGTTTGAAGGCCACATCCTGACACTGTCGAGCTCAAAGCCAGATCTCAGCTGCTGATGTGCGCTCCCGGGTCACAGCGGCAAGGCGAGGGAGAACCCACGCAGTCGCCTGACTAGTAGACCGCACGGAAGCCCAGGTCCCACCAACTACCATCAGGAGTCCTAAAGGGAGCGGAGGCAGCTCCTCAACCAAAAAAAAAGAGAGAGAGAGAGAGAAATCCCACAAGCCCCCCGCCCCTCGGGGAGAGGCGCTCTAGGATTGGGCCGCGCGGGTGTCACTCAAGGGCACTGACTCCAGAAAAGGCGCACAGCCGCAGGCAAAGCCCCCACACGCCAGAGGACTGGGGTAGGGTACGTTGTGTGGCCGCCGTCTTCCCTCGCCCTGGCCCATGAGTACATTCAGGGCCCCTCTAAGGCCATGTCTTATTCTCTTCCCCTGTCCCCTGAGACCCGCAGTTCCCGCAGGCGGACGGCCACTTACCTGGCCACCGATCCAATTCAGGGTCGGGCGAGCGGCCTCTCGCGACCGTTAAACTTCAGGGAGCGTGCGCGCGCCCGGCGCCTTGCCTGCAATTGGCTGCTCGGAAGGGGGCGGAGACGACCGAGCCGCGGCGCGCGCGGCGCCCTCCCCTTTAGCTCCCTTCAGCTCCCGCAAAAGAGGGAGGTCCGACGCCTGGGAACGGGGAGGGGGCGGGGCTTCTGTCAAATCCTCTCGCCTGATTGGCTCTCTCGCAGCTCTGCGTCTGCCAAGCGGAAAAGAGCCCTCAGCTTCCCGCATGCGCAGTTGGTAAGAATGAGCCTCGGACAGGTGAGGGAAGCCGTGAGTGGAGTACGGCGCGTGCGCGTTGACTCGAGATCGCGATTACGATCCGTTTTCTGCGTTGATTCTGGTTCCCCCTAGAACTTTGGGGGCGGAAGCCAATCCTGGGGCCAGGAAAGTGTCTGCGGAGAAACCAGGCATCCCCCCGCGGTTGCCCACGATTGGCCAGGGCTCTGGAGAGGAGACTGGGGAGGCCCGGACGCCTCGAGTTTCCCAGTTGGAGTCCCTGAGCCGCGCAACCAATTGATCGTAGGCCCTGCTGGCGGTGGGGCGAAGCCGGCCCAGACGCCTGAGCTGAGTTGTCCCTGAACGTGGTTTACCCTAGGCTACTAGGGGTCGGCCCTGGAGAAAACAGCGCTCACCGAGACCGAGGGCGGATGGAACGATCCTCGGGACTTCTCCAGCAGAGCCTCTCGGCGCCCTTAGCGCGCAGCAGGGGTGATTTCAGGCCAGGCACACAGTAGGTGTCGGCATTGCTCTTGCCGGATCCTTCGAAGGACCACAGAGACTCCGCGTCCCTCCCTGTGGGCCCCCAGCCTGGTTCATTCGCTCTGCTCGGTCAGACCTTTAAGTTATTTCCAGCTTGGCCTGTAACTGCGAGGCGCCTGTTCCCCCGCACCAAAGGCGAATTATTTTGTTAGTACCTGGCTATTTCCAGTGAACACATTTCATATCCACCCCAAAAAACCTGTTCGGTTTTAGCATGAGGTTCAATCGACCACAGAATCTATCATTTGAGACAATGTAGCTAGAATCTTCAGCCACAGAGATGTGAATTCCTGAGAGAGCACCTGCCTGGGAAAGAGGCGTTTCCTTACAAGGAAAATATTAACCCCCAAAGCGGGGAGCAGGAGTGGTTAGTTCTTTAGCCCTGCGCGAGGCAGACGGCTCATCGCTTCGGCTACAACATCAGAGGGGCTCTTTAGAGTGGTGTTCTGTGTTGGATTTGGCAGTGTGATTTTAGGTAGCTTTTTTAGCTAGTACTGCCTTAAAAATAAGCCAGTATGCTCAGGAGCTAGTATGCTGATTAACCTAGTTATCAGGTTAACCAGTTGATGCAGTGAAATATTTTGGTATGGTCTTAACACCATGTCTTAACTTAGATTAAGCTCTTTGGTACGGTCTAAATTTAAAAAAAAGAAAAAAAAAGAACATCAGAGTGGAAATTGACTAACCAGACTAGAGAGAAGAAATGCCTTTTTCAAAGTGTCATGAACAGCTAAAAAGGTAGTTTCTCAAGTCCATAGAAGCTATTTGATTCCAGAAGACAGACGTAGAAAGCTTCAGAAATTCCAGTGGATGTATTAAGTATGACTGTTCATCTAATCTAAACCTACCCCCCATACTGGAGATTTTGCACGATCTTTATGCCCTTATTGAGGGTATGATTACCATATGATCTTATTATAACATCAAATTGTTCAAGTATCCCTTTTTCTAGGTCTTTACATTGACAGCTTTATAGTAGAGATCTTTCATGTTGACTGGAATAAGTTTAAGCTATTCAATAATAGCAGCTGCTCTTGACTTGAGAAATTTAGTGTCTGTTAACTGGGGTGTTACTTTGTATATATTGATTTTTACATACAGTTTGTCATCTGGCGCAGCAGTTCTCCACAGCAAAAGATGAGGAATTCTGAAACTTTAAAGCTATAGTTTAACTATTAAATATAGGAGCCCTGGCTGGGTACCTCAGTTGGTTAGAGCATCATCCTGATATACCAAAGGTTGTTGGTTCGATCCCCAGTCAGAGCTTATGCAAGAATCAACCAATGAGTGCAAGAACAAGTGGAACAACAAATTCATGTTTTTAAATCCCCCCAAAAATCAAGAAATAAAAGTTTTTTTAATGGGAGGAAATGATCAGGTATATACTTAAACATGAATTTTTCCACCTTTCCTGAATTCATGACTGTTCTTACTATATTAGATAGTCCCCAAAGATCTTCGTGCATAAACCAGGACTCGTTCGATGGAGGTGGTCCTCACCTTCCCACTGCAACCCACGGGGAGTCACGCTGTGTCCTGGCATCATGGCCGTCTCCTCGGCGCCTCTCACAGGCCTCAATTATGACCTCACCAAGCACGTGTCTTTGTAATTTCGAGGTTGCCAGGTACTTCTTAAATGGGACCCCACCGAGTAAAACACTCATCGGGCTACTGTTCAGGAAGCCTTTTCACTCTGAGCTCTGAAACGAGCCCAGGAAGTAATCCGTGTGCACGTTTGCGGGTGAGACCACAGTGCACGTGGTGTGTCAGAGGTTCCCAGCTTTGTAGGTCAGGGATTGGAAGAGCTACTTGCTTTACATTTGTGGCAGCACATATGGCTTCTTCTCACCCTGGGTGGTATTACCTCCGTTGTACAGATGAGGAAAAGTGGCCAGGGGGGCACAGTGGGTTGACGCATCAACGCAGGTCAGGCTGACTACAGAGCAACGTGGCCTTCCAGGGACTGGAACACGAGAGGCGGTGTCAAAGAGAGAGCTTAGGAAAATACAAGGGGCTGGGGAAGAGCAGATCTGGAGAGGTTAGGAAAGGTAAAGGAGCAAGCTGTAGAAAGGATCGACATAGTTTTAAAAAGTGGACCAGCTACTGCTCTTCTAAGATCAGTCTTTCTGAAATAACCCACAGGCGAATACATGTCGCTTTATTTGTATCAGATCCACTTGTATTTGGAAGTGCTTTGAAAACAGACCATCACAAGGCATCCTTATGGTAATAAAGGCTTGGAGACCTTAGAGAAAATGTAAAGTGTTGTTTTTGCAGCTTTTTTATGTAGCTCTCATTTTAATAGTGGTAAGTTATTAAGTTCCTGTGAGATGCCATAAATAGACAGGTGTAACCCCCTCTGGATTCAATTTTCCGGTTTAAAAAAAAGACTGAGCGGGATGTTGCTGCCGCATGAATTGAAAGCTTTTCTCTGTATCTCCTTCCTTCGTTGCCCCTTCAACCATGCAGCAATATGGCCCAGAATATCCTCCTCTTCCTCCCCGCCTCAGTCCGAGACAGCAGCTCTGCCCTTCCGGCTCAATCCATCCTGCTTGTCTTCCAAAAGAGTTCTCTGAACACTGGCTGCGGGTGAAGGTGCTCGACCCGCAGCACAGAGCCCCGGCCCAGGGAAGGACGGGCTCTGCTTCTGCCCAAGCCGCCGGCCCTGGGCTTCCGTTCTGGGAGCTGTTCAGCTCCCCCGAGGATGTCAGGCAGTTAGCGTGGAGGAGGAGCTGCGTATGATCGGGGGAGGGAGGCTGCCTTATTTTCCCTCCCAGTCTGCAGGGAGCACCAGGACATGAACTGCTGTCAAGCACTTGTCAGAAGACCCTCCCCCCCTCACTTTGCTCCTGGTGCCATCAGCTGGCCACTCTGACTTCTGGGAGCCACAGGCCCAGTCTGAGCAAGCTCACCGAGTTTGGCCCTTCACCACCGATGAGGGCATTGTTTTGAGACCTGTCCTTTTACCTCCTTGTTGGGGAGGGAAAGGAGGCTAAGCAGCAGTTGGCACTCCAGAATTCTTGTCTCGGCTTTGTAAATATTAGAAACATAAGAAAGCACAGCTTCAAAGGCGTCCGTCCTAGCAGCCAGAAGAACTTGGTAACTCCCGTGTGCTATGACAGCTTCCCAGACCTGGGGGGATGCCTCTGAATCGGCCGAGGACCTTCCTGAAACGCAGGTTCTCCTTCAGGCCCGGGGCCCTCCACGCCCGGCCTGCCCCCAGGGGCGCTCGCCACTGCTCTGAGCCATGGGGTCCAGCACGCCGGCCGCCAGCACGCGTGGCTGGTCCGGGCCGACTGTGTTGTAAGCACGAATACACTCGGAGTTTGAATCCTACATGTAAAAAGTAACTTTAGAAATGCGCCTGCGCAACGGACCTGGCGCAGGTCCTGTGGCCGCCAAGGTTCCCGCGCAGATGCGTGGAAGGGCCTTCGTCCCGCTGGCAGGCCGCCGGGCCTGGGGGGGCCGACACGGTGGGAAAGTGAATGAGTGAAGTAATGAAAATACCAATAACTTTTCTATTGGTTCCATGTAGAGCTAATGTTTTGGGTAGATTTGGGTTAATATATTAAAATATGTTAGTGTATTTTAATATATTAAAATTAATTTTCTCAATCTTTTTACTATTTTTTTCCCTTTTTCTCTTTTTTTTTACTATTTTCCATGTGACTACCAGAAAATTTGGAATTTCGCATGTGGCTTGCATTCTAGTTGTATCAGACGATACTATTCTAGAACATTGCTGCAATGGAAGCCAAGGTTTTGGGTGTTCTTTTTCCAGATGACCCAGTTTCTTTATCCCCTTGTTACCATTTCGCCTTCTCCGTTAGCCCAAGTCAACGTTCACGCCGTTCTTTCCCCTGCGTGTTCCCCCCACCACTCTCCTTCCCACCTCCGTGCCTGTCTCCGGCACCGGGGACGTGGGGCGTTCCCGCAGCGGCAGACAGCCCAGAGCGCCCCGCCCGCTCAGAGCCTTTGCTGCAGCCCTCAGAGGGCTCCCCGGGGCTGGTCAGAAAAGCAGCACCCTAGGCCCGGAGGCCCCCGCATCACGCCTAACACAGCCTCCCGGAGGCTGCCCATGGGGGGCGCCCGAGGAGGCCCTGAACGCAGCCGCCCTTCCTGAAGCTCCCATTTCAGCTCCGGTCTACCCCCTCCCTCCGCCCGGTTTTGATGGCGTTTCTGCAGGGGGTATGCCCCATGCAGCTTGTGGCTAAGAAGTTAGTGCTCTTCCCTTCCTAAAAAAATCGTTCAACAGTGAATTTTAGGCAAACAGCACCCAGAAGGTGGGCACAGAGACGGCGCGGCGGCTTCGCGCAGACACACTCAGGCAGCCCCTCTGGCCCAGGGCCGCGCCGGAGAGGCGGGGGCAGCCTTCTGCCGCGCCCTGAGCGCTCGCCCTGCCAGTGGACCGGCCTCACCGCGCTGTCCGGTTCAAAACGGTGGCTCTTTGCGCCAGTCACAGCCACGTGGCACCCGTGGCAGCAGGTGCCCATCTGGGCCCGGGGCGCTTGTGGAAGCCCGTGGAGGGACCGTGCGGGCCGAGCCAGGTCCGGAGGAGGGGCGGGCGCCTGCGGGGAGCAGGCCCCCAGCTGTGGGGCCGGCCGCCCACTCCACCTCCGGGCTGCGGCCTGTGTCACCCCTGTGGGCGCTTCACTTCTCTCTTCGGCTCCAGGCTCCGTGGGTGCTGGCAGCCCGGGCCTGACTTGTAGTAGATGTTGTAAGTATCATTGAACAAATGAACGCTGCGTTTTGTAAAGGCCTGACGCCTGCCATCTCTAGCTTTCCACGCAGGAATGGCCTCAGACAAGGCACGGCTTCAGCCTAGACTGCAGTCGGGCCTTGGCGCAGAAGCCGCCCCTGAGGAGCCGAGCTGACAGGAAGTGGGGGCGGCAGCCCGCCCCGAACGGGCCCCCCCCGGGGAGGAATTAGAGCAGAGCGCTTCGCCCCGCTGGCTGGTTTCCCCTTACTCGTACTTCTGGGTCCCTTTTTTCTCTTTTTTTAATGTCATGATGAGCTCTCATTTCAAGTGCTCTTATTGTTCCCCAAAGACCTGGGGCTGCTCTGTGGGCATCACAAAAACTGAAACCCAACCCGTAGTCTCCCCGGGCTTCGGGGAAGTGGGACCATGGGTGTGTTTGTCATTTTTAGCTGTCATTGGAGTAGAGCCAATGCTCCAGGAGATACGAAAAGTATTGGGGGCCGTCCGATTGGCTGATGGAATTCTATTAGACAAAGCAGCCAGTAACCGAGCGCTGGGGACCTGCCTGAACTCCAGGTGGGTGGCAGACCCTCCAGTGTGCGTGTCAGCTCTGAACTAGGACAGAGGTAGAGATCCGAGACACACTGGGCTGATGACAAAGCAGCCGATAAAAGCACCCTCCTCTCTGCCCTTTGTCTGGGGGTGTCGCCGTGTCTCAGACCTGCTTCCTTTCTTTGTCACTGGGCTATAGCCCAGTGCTGGCCTGCCTGGTCGGATTTACTAACTAACGGAAGAGAAACCCGGAGAGGCGTGGGCTCGTGTTCCATAATGAGGCTGACCCGGGGCAGACGCTGTCTGATCACGCAGGGATTTTGTTCTGTGGGCCGGAAGCAGAAACAAGGCTGCGAAGGGAGGTCTGGGCAGCCAAGCAGTCATTTGTGGGGAAGTGGAGCCTTTGTTGTAGCGACCCCCCCTCCCCCAACCCCGGGAAAGTGCCTCCGGGTCTCCTTTGCCTTTGTTCCTGAGGACACTTCTGAAACATTTCACACACAATAAACAAAAGCAGTTTTTAAAGTAGCATTTTCATGGGCACACTGTTTCTAAATGTATCTCTTCGCAGCCCTGGAACATCTGACCACAGGGCGGTAATCATCACCCACCAGGGTTAGGCCACGTGTCAGTCACGGAACAGAAAACTGGTTTGCCTTCCAGTAGACATAGTAGAGGTAGAGAGGAAGACTGCTGTACTGTCCTTCTAAAAGTGACTGATATCTTCTCAGCATTGGCTGTACCGATGACTAAGACACTCAGGTTTAGAATCACAGAAAAGGCACGTGTTCACAATAAGGAAACGTCACCAAGCCGCATGTCTGCACCAGCTTCCTCGGTGCTTACTGAGGTCGCTGCGCGCCCAGCGGGCCTGAGTGGTCCAACGCAGCACCGGCCACCGGGAACGGAGCTGCGCGCAAACTCGGAGCGGTCACTGGGCACGCGTCTGTCACTCCGCACTATGGAGGCTGCTTAGGGGCTCCGGTGCTGTGAGGGACCAGCTGCCAGCAGCTAGAGTTTACAAGGTTTCGGATGGTAGGAGGAGCTATTCAGAGCCGCATAAGGAGCCATTGAAAAGAGCGGTATCTGTTTTTAGTGCCCACATACTTGTCCATCAAGCAGCATAACCCAGTGGCACAATCGTGGTTCCCATAATCCACTGGGTGATGGGGATTTTGCCAAAAACCAGTCTTATGCCTTCAAAGGCATCAACAAAAGTCCTTTCCAGAACACGTCTTTCCCTGAGCTGCGAGCCGGTCTGGGAGGGGCCGAGGAAGGCCAGGGGTGGCCTCCCAGTGGGAAACGCCGCCCGGGGGGGTGGCTCGCCCCTGCTCACCCGCTGATCTGGGAATGAGGCGACACCTCTCGGGTCCTGCTGCCTCCCTGCCCCTGGACAGACGCTGGGGCCCGCGGGCACCGCGTCCTCACAGCTGTCACTCTCTGCGCTCTCCGCGCGCCAACCGAAACGGTCCAGCCTGCTGCTGCATCTCAGGCAGCTATTTACATCTTATTATCAAACATCCCTGTCTCTTTGACTGGTTTCTCCCTGACTAGACTGAGCGCCATGAAGACAGGGTCTGGCTCTTTTTTACCTCGTGTGGCTCACAAAGTGCCTCGCGTGGGATGTTGAACCTACCAGGCACCTTAATAAAAGTCAGCTGGTCTGGTAGTTTAATGACACGTACCAGTTGGATCGTGTTATTGGCAGTGCGTCTGAGGGAACAGATGTTCCTATTCAAACCCAAGAAACTGGAAACATTGAAAAACAAGTCATGACACTGATTGATAGTGATATTTACTGTGTCAGACTGTTTAAGCTCAGCTATAAAATCGACCAGCGAGCTTCAACCTTCTCATCTCACGGTGCACGTGAATTACTAAATTTCTGCAGCACACCAAAAAATATAATTTTTGCTGATCTGACAATAATAATAGGTACACTTTTTGATTCAGCCACACTGGACGGCTGTTGTCATTTTTTATTTGACAATATATGGGAAAGAGGTCGGTGCCCCTGACTAAACAGGGGCTGTGTGTTTCAAAATTCTTGGGGCGTGCTGTGGGAAATCACCCAAACAGACGACCTCTAGTGCGGTCTTCAGGTTGGGGTTTCAGAGGCTCCCCGGTGTCTAAATAATGTCCCTTGACGCAGATCCCGGGTCCTGCTTGATGTGCTATTTAATACGTCCTTATCGAATTACAGCCCTGTTCTTTGGAATTTCACTCAAAACCTCTCCTTCCTGAGCAACCAGCACCTCTGGGTGCTTCGGAGGCCCTTTCGGCCTGTTATAAGAAGTGCCGCCCGCCCAGCAGGGCGGCTCTGCAGGGGCCGGGCGGGCGGCCGGACAGCCATCTTCACTCCTGTCCCGAGCCCTCCCTCAGAGGGGTGTGCTCACCGCCTGGGCCGCTGTGTCGGGAGCTGTCCTGGAGCCAGAAGCACACGTACCGCAAGGGCAGGCGCGCCCTTCTGAAAGGCTGTCCCTTTTGTCTGGTGCAGGTCCCCGACGACAAGCAGAGCCCCTCTGCCCATGAGCGCCCCGGGCCTGTCTCGCCTTCCCGGCCGCCTGAGCAGGGCAGGCCCCGGGCCGTGGGGACGCCGGCTGGCCGCACTGCTGTCCCCAGGGGCGGGCGTCGCTCCAGTCCAGGTGGCCGGCAAGAAGGATCACCCTGCGCTGCTGCCCCTGGATGAGGGTGAACTTGAAGAGCAGTTTGTGAAAGGCCATGGTCCAGGGGGCCAGGCAACCAACAAAACCAGCAACTGCGTGGTGCTGAAGCACGTCCCCTCGGGCCTGGTTGTCAAGGTAGGGGGGACAGAAGCCCGCACGGCGGGGGGCCGAGGGCATCGCGTGTCCCGGCCCCTGCCCCGAGCCACCCCTCCCCAAGGCAGAGCCTCGCCTGGGGCGCCCCGCGCCGGGCTCTGCGGCCCTCCGTGCGGCGGGCGGCAGCCCGGGCCGTGCACTGCCATGGGCGCCAGGTTCCCGAGCAGCAGGCAGGCCAGGCCTCTGCCGGCAGCCGCAGCCCTTAGCGACCTGGCTGGCTGACTGGGACGGCCACGTCCTCCGTGTCCCTCCGTCCCTCTTTGGCTAGTGTCAGCAATGCCACCCCTGAGCGTGAGATCAGGGAGACACGCCGTGTTCGGCTCCCAGAAGCAGCGCACCGTGCTCTCTCTGCGCCTGCTGGGTCGTTCTCCTCTGGATGAAAACCCGTGCTCGGCCGAAGCCTCACCTGCCGCATCACATCCTGCGCCCCGAGGCGACGGCGGCGTGGTCCCCGTCTCCGCGCTAGCTGCAGGGAGCGGCCCCTCTGGTCTGTACGCCGGAGGCCCGGAAGGCGGCTCGAGCCCCGAGATCCAGCGGAGCGCAAAGGCAGGTCTGACAGCTCTGCCCGTGGCGGCAGTCCGTCCTCAGGAGCCCCCTCCTCCTCGGGCGGGGGGCAGGCTGGGCGGGGGGCTCGGGAGGCCAAGTGGCCCGCGCCGGGCCCTCCCGCCGCGGCACCAACCTAGACCAGGCCCGCGCTGCCCACCACGCCCTCCCAGCCGGCTCTCCAAGTCGAGAGCACATCCGTTAAAATGCCAACCCCTTTCCTCTTCCTCCCTGAAAAAGTGCTCTGAAACCTGACCTCATTTTTGTTTTCATTTTATCTAACTTACTTCAAATTCACACCCTGACTTCACAGAAGTCCCCCTTCACCCACGAGCTTTGTGAGGAAAGCACTTGCCCCGACGCCAAGCTGCCACATGGGAGTGCTTGCGGCCGACTGGCCACGCAGGCCTGTTTCCCTCCTTCAGACAGAGCTCGACAAAGGGCTCGTTCCCAGCCACAAGCTGGACACACCAGTTGATGTTTTCAAAATTATCTTGGGACTTTCAGCTATTCAGTTGCTGCTGAACAAAACAGCACTCCTGACTGGGCAATAATCCCCATGAGCCCACACAGTCCACGGGGCAGGGCCGGGGTGGGGCTCTCCTCCTCTGCCGAGTCCCTGGGAGTCTGGACGCTTGGCCTTAACTGCCCCTTCTCCCCCGCCCCAGCCCGTCCCACCTGCAGCCACGAGGCTGCGTTTAATGACTCGGGGGTCCTGGCCAGAACACCCTGTGGGCCTCACGTCACCCACTTCCTCTCCACAGTGCCATCAGACAAGATCCGTTGATCAGAACAGAAAGCTGGCACGGAAAATCCTGCAAGAGAAGGTGGACATTTTCTACAACGGTGAGAACAGTCTTGCTTACAGAGAAAAACGAGAAGCAGAGAAGAAAAAGCAAGAAAGGAAAAAAAGAGCCAAGGAGACCCTGGAAAAAAAGAAACTACTGAAAGAACTCTGGGAGTCCAGTAAAAGCGCCCCCGGAGAGACGCCGGGAGGCTCCGCCTGAAGAGGGCCTGCAGGCGCCGTCCGGGCAGCGCGGGGCGGCCGCCACCCGCGCGGCCGCAGGGCTTCGAAAGCAGTTATTTCGACAGATTGAAAAGATGTCAAGTTTTTCTAAACGACAGACTGAACTGGGTGAGGTGAGATACACTCAGAGAATAAAACCGAAATAAACACAAGGACGTCGCTACCGGAAAAGGCCCGCGGCCGCTGCGGAGGCGGAAAGGCACCGTCATGGAGGGGCTGCCAGCGCGGCTGCCAGTTCTCCTTCTTGACCTGGGCAGTAGGGGCAAGGATGTCACCTCGTTTTTTTAAGCTGTACATTTGTGTGAGTGTATCTTATTTTATTCTCAAAGGTTAGAAATAAATTTTTTTTTTTAAAGCATGACTGTTAATAAGGTTCATTTACATGGAGAACTATGAAATTGAGACAAACATTAGCCTCTAGGGCCACCGTCTCTTCCGCTGGGAGGTCACTGCTCAGTGACCCTTAGATGTCAGTTGGCTTAATGTCAGGTTAAGAGAATAAAAACAAGATGGCAGAGACAGGTCAGTGAGCGGCCTCAGTTGCTGATGAGACCATGTGACCAAGTCCCCTCTGATGTGGACACACATGTATCATTCCCTGTGTGTTGACTAACAAGTAGGTTCCTAAGAGATGAGGTTTCCAGAAACCTGGTTTGTTTGCGGATTCGCCCAACGCCACCACGGTCACTTGCCTGTCCGGCGGCTCGGGTTGGCTCGGCGAGGTCGGTAGCTCGCTGGTGAGAACACCTCGCAAGTTCACACACCAAACGAGGAGGTGGGGGGAAGCCCAGGAGGGGCCCGCAGGGCACGCGCTCTACACCAGGCTCCGAGGCCTCTGGCCAGCGGCGGGCCCCGCCCCACTCCAGCCTCCACTCCGAAGGCTGCTGGGTAAAGCGCCTGCAGCGGCACACAGAAGCCCGTAGGCGTGGGGAAGCTGACGACAGGAAGGACAGAAGCTTCCAGTTCTGTCTCCTTCCTTGCACCTTTTGGTGCACGATGGAGATGCAGACCAGCCCACTCCCTAAACCTGTCCCTCCGGCGTGCACCTGCCGTGGCCAGGACGGCCCGTACCCTCGCAGAGCGGCTACGCATCCCGCGGGTGCAACGTAAAAACTACCTCGGGCCGGCAGCTCCTCAGCGTGCCCGGCACAACCCGGGTCGCCGGCCCCGGCGCAGGGAGCCCTCCGGCCAGCGCCCAAGGTGTGGCTGGAGTTTGGGGCCACGTGGTATGAAAGCAGGTCCCTGTGGCGCCCCAAAACGCTCACAGGCAGGCACCTCAAGACCAAGGCGCTCCTGACTGCGGAGCCGGGGGCAGAGGGCACAGCCAGGACCCGCTCTCACTGCTGGTCTTGCGCTCCCTCCGGGAGTGTGCTGAGGCCGCTGCAACTGCAAGGCGCCCCAGGGCGACCTCGCTTGCCCCTGCCTTGCGGCGGCGCAGCAAGTCACTCTCCGCAGCGCGCTGCTCGTCAGCACGTAGGACGTCCCAGTCCCGTGGGAAGAGGCCCGCCATGGAAGGGCCCTGCCACCTCTCTCTCAGGAGCTGTTTGGCCAGATGCCACTTGATTGAAGGAACCCACATCTCAATACCAGTTGTTAATGAAAATAAGCTTTATTACATCAAGTAATAAATACATACAAAGATGCAAACAGTGTTAGTCATTTTCTTCCAGGTGTCTGGGTCGACTTACAGGAAAGGTGGAACTGAAATCTACACACAGACTTAGGAGAAATTGCAGGGGTCCTTGTCGGGTGAGGTTCGGTACGATGCTCTTTCTTCTGTATTTATAACTTGTTCTTTTTAAAAGTGGGCTTCAAAGCACTACGTCATGCAAACGCTTAAGCAAAAAAGAAGTTACATGAAGCAGGATCTATGCTGGATGGCCAACAGGGACGGCTACTCAAGCGCGCTGCGATCAGGACGCACCAAACCCAGACCCGCGGAGCTGTGTTAGCTTATGAAGGGAATGAAGAACAATCGGAGTAACAAATGTATTCCAAAGAGAAACCCGGTAGCTTGGCGGCACACTGCGGTTTGCTGTGACACAGGGAACCGACGTGCATCTTTTAAATCAATGCTTTAAAAAAACAACAACAACAACACCCTGGCTAGTTCCTAACTAATATGTAAACCCCAATCAACTGCAACACCTTTTCTCCATCTTAGAAGCTGTAGGTTCAGAGCCTAACGAACCATGGGAGGGAGTAGGGAGGAGCAACCAAACTGTTACCATTTGAAAACAAGTTTCATCTGAACAGGGGAGACACGCTGGAGCTTCTTGGAAGAAGACGAGGCAAGGCCTCCCCCACCGACGAGGCAGCTAGGACCGGGCGTTCCGCTCCGTCTCGGCCAAGCACTCCCGGACCAGCCCTCGTGCGTGAATGATGCCTGCGGGAGAGGAGGCAGAGGCTGCGGACCCTCGGCCGGCCGGTGCCGGGAGAGGACTCGGGAGTGGAGGGGGTCCATTTGCAACCCGCTGGGAACCCTCACGCCGGGAGGGAGTTCGGGGCCCGCACCCGCACCCCTGGAGCCGCCAAGCCGCCAAGCGGTTTGAAAGGCACTGACATCCCCCCCCACCTCTTGAAGCCCTTCTTTCCCCCTAGCAAAATCTCTGGGGGTCTCCCCAAAACTTCCTCCTGCACTGCAGGCGGCAGCCAGCAAGCTCTCTCTTCCTTCAAGACGTGACTCTGCATCCACTGCATCCCCAGCTGGAGGGCGGAGGCTGGGCCCCCACGCGTTCCTCATGCCTGACTCGCTTTGCAGACCCTGCGCCTTCAAGCCGCTGCTCTGCTCCGGCTTTCTCTAAATTCTACAAAGGTCTTGACAATGCCAAGTGGCCTGCGCCTGCCCGGCCGCAAGGCGACGGCCGCCCTTTCCGCCGGGCCCAGGCGCACCGCGACGGGCCTTCACGGGCCCCCGGGGCCGCCTTCTTCCTGTGCTGTTACTCCCCCCGTCTCCTCTCTCTGGCTGGTTCGTTCGCTTTGCCTCTACTGAACTTCACGAGACACTGACCTCGTTTAGCTAGACACCAAGAATCTATTCCTCCTGAGAGAGACACCCCGCGGCCACGGGGACGGCAGCCCCAGGTGCCATGCGCGCCCAGGCCTCCCCGCCTTCTCTGAGCTTCCGAAGGTGTTTTCTGGAAGAGCCGGACAGCACATCTCTCAGGCCTTGCAGGCCACAGAGCCACTGCCACGGCTGCTCACCTCCGCCCTTGAATCGCGAAAGCAGCCACGGAAGTCACATCAGCAACGGACGTGGCCCCACTCCAATAAAATCCCAATAAATCTTCATTGACGGACGCAGAGGTTGAATGTCACAAAACCTTGTCGTACTAGTAAGCAGCATAAGCACCGTGCCCAGCTCACGGGCTGTCGCTCGCAGACCTGGCAACAGCACCCCGGCCTCCCTCGCGCCCCGCGTGACCCTTTCCGCCCTACGGCTCCACGAACCTGGCCCGCGAGGGCCCGGCTACCACTCAGGGGCAGCTGCCCACCCCGGCTGTGCCCGAGCGGGCCCTCGGCGCCCCCGAATGCTGACTTCACCGGCTGTGCGGGGCGACGGCGGGACGCGCGTCAGACTTTGGGGCCCAGCGTCTTCCCGGGGCTTCCGCGCAGGCGACCAGCATACCGGCCACCTGCACGGCCAGGCCCCCTCGGACTCAAGCAGCGGCCTGGGCCGCAGCGGTGCCCGCCTGACCCCCGGCTGGGTCGGCTAAGCTCCACCTCCCTCCAAAGCCCTCGCCGGTTCCAGCCTCTAACCGCCCGTCCCCCGCGCCGCGCCCGTGCCTCTGAGGACCCAGCCCGGCTTTGCAGTCGTCCCACGAGGGGTCCTGAACCCCAGCAAGGCCACAGCTTCGGGGGCCCGTCCTCAGCCGGCCTGGCCCCTCCCTGCAGTCCCGGCCTGAAGAGCAGCCCCCAGTTCATGCCTTAGATTTACAAACAAAGGACGTTCCTCTCCTTTTCCTCCCAAGTCGCTCCTCTCACCCTTTCAAGAACCCCAAGTCCCTCCTGAAATGAGATTTGCACATGGACCTCCATGCTCTCAACTGCCACCTTCCAAAATAGGAACCCTTCCCTCCCTTCCCTTTTGCTTCACGAGGGAGCACACTGCTTCCCATCCTCCTGAAGTCAGCTGGTCGGTCACATCTTCCTGTGAGTCACTCTCTTCCTGTGCCACCACCCCCTCCCAGCACCAGGAACTTCACGGCTTTCCTGCCCTCCCACCCCAGGCCAGGACGGACACCCCCACCCCACCCCACCCCCGTCCCGCGGCCCCACGGTGGCCCCAGGAGGGAGCAGGCAGAGGCCGGGCTCCAAGGCGTCTCTTTAGAGCCAGGGGACCGTCCCGTGGCACCCGGGGCCACACGGGCGAGGCTCGCTGGCAGGAGCGGCCCTTTCCAGCAGCCCCACCTGAGCCCAAGCGACCGCCAAGCCCCTTCCCGTCAAGGACGGTGACTCTGTGACAAACGGAGCCCCCGTGGCTGAGGGACCCCGCACCCTCCAAGGAACTCCCGAGAAGGCCTTTCTGGCAGCGACAGGCCGCCGCTCCGGGGCCGCCACCGGACGCACCTCGCTTGAGCCTCTCCATCGCGCTCTTGCTGCCGGCGTACGTGGGCCGGATCTCCTTCCCCAGCTCCTCAATGATGGCCAGCAGCTCTGCGTACTTGCTCTGCGGGGCCTGGCTGCTTCCAGCTCCCTGGGGTCGGGGAAGGAGGGAGGGGTCAGGCAAGGAGGGGTCAGGCGGTGGCATCCCGGCCTCCAAGGCCACGGTGCAGCTGTGGGGCCAGAGGGAGGGCGGTGCCCTCTGGAGCAGCGGCCCCCACGGGGCCAGGCTCGCCCTGCCCCCCGCAGGGACGGCCACAGAGCAGGGCGGCGGCACACCCCGGGAACCGCCAGCGCTGTCTCCAGAGCGCGTTCACCGCCGCCCCAGCGGCCCATCCCGACAGGAAGGGCCCCACCAAGAATCTGCGAGGACCCGGGAGGAAGAGCAGGTAGAGCCCACAGGCCGAGGTGCAGAGCGAACAGACAAGACGGGGCCGCCCCGGGGGTTGGCAGGGCTCTAAACGTCGCCCAGGGCCGCCTGGACATTGACCCATCTGCCCCCGGCCGCAGGGCCCACCAGAGACACCCTTAGGACACCACTAAGCCCTGAGCGAGCACCCCAACTGTGAGACCAGGGTCCCCGTGGACCTCCCTCCTTCCTCCTCCTGCTCCCACAGCGGCACAGCGCTGCCGCCGCCCCCCCCCCCCCCGCCCCCGGCCTTGCCTGCCCCTCGCGCCGCCTCCGCTGCCTGGCCTCGCGGGCCAGCCTCCTCTCCCGGCCCAGCCCCGGGGCGCCCGTCCGGCGGCTCCTCGGGGCCTCGCACCCCTCCTGGCACCGCTCCCGCCAGCGCCGCATGGCCAGGGCGTTGCGCTGCCTCTCCAGGCTGCGCTTCAGCCCGCCCTCCCGCCCCTGCTGCCGCCACTTCAGGCGGTCCCGCTCCCGGGCCCGCTCCCGCTTCTCCTCCGGGGACAGGAGGGCCCGGCGGGACACGGCCTGGGAGCTGCCGGCCACCCCAAAGGACAGCGCCCACGGCGACCCCAGAATGCAGCGAGTTCCGGCCCCGGGAGAGAACCTCGCGGCTGGCGACCGCGGGTCTCCACGGGCCGTGTTTCGCTGGCAGGGTCTGAAGTGGCTTCCTCCATGGATGCTCCTGCCACCCCGGTGACCCCCATGTGACAGCGAGGAAACCGAGGCTCCACCTGAATGCCAAGCGTGGTCACGGTCTTGTAAGTGGCAAAACCAGGTGGAAACCCAAGCAGCCTCGCTCGGGGGCCACCAGCTCCTCATGAGATGCACAGGGACCCCGGGGGCCCCGGCAGAACATGGGCCCACCCTCCTCTTTGGCCGGGGCCACCGCCTTGCGGGGCACGAAGGGGAACCAGGTCCCCTCCCCTCTGTCCCAGCGCAGACCAGACTTAAGGGCGGGTCTTCCTTCCCCAGGAACCAGGCACAGAAGACCCACGAGGGACCTGCCCAGGGTGGTGGCCCCCACTGGGGCCCTCTGCCGGTGTCCGAGCTCTCAGCGTCCCCCATGAAACACCTTGCTCCCACCACCCCATCCCGATGCCTCAGGTCTGGAACCTGAGTCCAGCCAGAGCCTTGGCTGGAGGGAGCGCTGGGGGCTGTCCCACGCCAACAGTTCTGCTCCTTCCTCTCTCCCACCAAGGCCCCTCCCCTCCTGGAGGGTGGGAACCCATCCCTCAGTGCTCAGGCCACGCCCAGGGCCCCTCCCACCCGCACCGCGCCCGCCCGCTGCCATACCTGGGTGTAGCCCAGAGACGGTGGCCCGTAGTCGCTCAGCAGCTGGCGGTACTGTGAGGACGTCGCCATGCTGGTGGAAGGCGGGTGGACGCTCCCAGCTGCGGGGGGAGGGGACAGGAATCAGCAGTCGCAGAGCCTTGGCCCGCTGAACCAGGGCAGGGAGGCTGGACTCTGCAGCAGTTCCCCTCCCCCACCCCCCGCCCAGGACCCGCACCGTCCAAGTCCACAGAGGCCTTTTCTGTCCGTGAGACAGAGAACGCTGCTTCTGTCCTCTGGTTTGGCCCCGGCCCACCCTCCGTCTGGATGACCGGTAGCAGCAGGTAGCTAACAGGCCACTGCTCTTCCCGCCCAGCCCCCGGCAGACATCACTAATCCATCACAGACCTCCTCCCTGTCCCTGCCGCCGGATTGGTGCCAAAGCTGAAACTCGCCGCTGTCCGCAGCCCAACCCTTGCCAGGCCCCGTTTCCTGGGTCCTGCTCCCCTGACGCTGGTCACCGAGCGCCTCGTCCCTGCCACGACAGGCCGCCTGCTCCCCGCTGGGCTAAAGCTTCCTGCGCGCCCAAAGCCCGGCTGGACTGCACCCATGGTCAGGGAGACGGGGAGGGTGTGGAGACCTGAGACTCAGCGCTGGCTGGGGACAGGTGCAGGCGACACAAACTCGGGCACCTGGGGCGCCCCACGGCCTCCGTGTGCCCTCAGGCAAGTCCTTCGCCCTCTGCACCCCCCCGCCAAAGACAGGGCGACAGGACCCTTGACAGTCTGAGTGTACCCAGATGTCTTGCACCCCAAGGGAGGGGTAGCCTGGCTCATGGCCTGCCACACTCGGAGACGCTGTCCCTCAGCAGCGAGGGACCACGTGGGGCCAGGGCCCCACTCGCATGGAGCTGCCTGAACGGGGGAGGAAAGGCCCCCGGCAGGGAGTTTTCCAGCCCCAGCTCAGGCGCCGGAAGCCTGCAGCCCCATCATGGCGTCCGAGTGGCCAGGCGCGGGTAAAGGATGTCCTGGAGAATCACAAACAGCGGTAACCATGGAGAATTCACCTAGCCCTCCTCGGCAGCCGCCCGCCTGCCTCCACACCCGCCCCGCGGAGGGGCCGCTCCCCCCGCTGCCGCCCGCAGAGCCGAATGGCCTCTCTCACACGCACACCGCGGGCTCTGCGGCCCTGGCCCCAGGGAGGGACAGCTGGTGCCAGGCTGGCCAGAGCGACCAGCTGCTCATCTGGTGTGGGCAAGGGGAGGGGCAGGGAGGAAGGAAGTTTGGGAGCTCAGGCTGATGGGGCTGGACACGGCCCTCGGGGGCTCCTCGCTGCAGGGGAGGAACTGACCAGAGAGGGTGGGCGTGGCTCCAGGCCGCACAGTGCAGCAGAGGCGGGCGCCCAGGGCCTGACCCTGTGTCCAGGGCCTGGGGACAGCTCTGCACTCCCGGTCTCAGGCCTGCCCTGGACCTTCCACCCAGGCCTGGGATTATGTTCAAGCACAGGATACCCAGTTGGGACACCTGGACACCGCCCCGCCCCGTGCTGGGAAAGGGGCACGTCGCCGGGCAGCTCCGGGCCTCTCGGGCAGGGGTCATAACACACCGCAGGGACACGCTGCTCAGGAGGGACGCACACCAGCACGCGGTGCCCTCTGTCCGGGCCCCTGCGGAGGGGCCAGAGCGCAGGAATGGGGGCAGGGTGGCCGCCCCTGAGCTCCCCTCCATCAGCCAAGCCCAGCGTCTTGAACTTTCTGGCGCGGGCAGTGCACGTGGCCTGGGCAGCTCTGGCTTTCAGCCCCGGAGCTGGGTTCCGGTCCCGGCCACTATGAATCATGACACAGCTCTAGGAGGCCACGGTGCTGCTACATGTGAGGCTGCGGCCGGGCGTGGGTCGTCCACGGCACTCCAGGCACCTAGAAGGCGCCGGCTCCCCGGCAGAGGTGGGCTGAGGTGGGCTGGGGCGGGAACCTCCCTCGCGTTCTCCCGCCCTCCTCTTCCTCGTCACTCTTTTCACTGGGTTTCTGCCTCCCTGTCCCGTCCGCTCTCCCACAGGCAGGGGCCACCCTGGGAGCCGGTCCAGCTGTGCCCCACCCGCCCGTGTGGCCTTCCACAAGTCCCTCCCCTCTCTGGGCCTCAGTTTCTCCATCTGTCTGAAGCAATGGTTCCCAACAGAACATCTAAAGGCTCTAGGTTAGGTTTGGGAAGCCAAGGTAGGGGAGGAGGAAGGAGGACCTGCCCGGTTGTGGTTGGGATGAGGGGGAGAGCCAGGGGCTGGCTCATGGCAGGTGACCCCAATAGAGTGCCAGCGCCATCCCTCTCCCTGTGTCGAGAGGGGGTGCCTGCGGCCCTGGAGAGCGGGCACGGGCCCCGGCCCCGTCCTTGCCCCACTGCTCCCCGCAGACCCAGAGGCCGGGGCGTGCAAGGCTGGGGAGACACCCAGGCCGGCGCGAGCGCGGCGGCTGGAGCAGAGCATCGCAGACAATGCGCGCAGTGTGCGGGGACCAGGAGGCCGAGCAGAGGGAGGGCTTGGCGAGGCCAGCAGCTCCCGGGGCCAGGCGCGCTCCCCGCCCCCACGCCAGACAAAGAGCGGCCTGGGCCTGGGGAGCTGGCGGCCTTCCCGCCACTTGGGGCGCCCGGTGGGGGGGCGCTTTCAGGCAGGCGGGCAGGCGGGGGCTTTGTCTCCTCCGCCACTGCCACCGCCGGCCAGGCCGCGGCTTGGCAGCCCGTGCGCAGGAGGCAGGGCTGGAGGGCGTGAGGGACGATGACAAGGAAGCCGGAGGAGCAGCAGCGGAGAGTCCATCTTGGATGCACACGGCGGGGGAGATGGGGCTTTGAAAGGGGTCCACGGCGAGGGGCAGCCCCCACTGCAACACCCTGGCTCGGGGGCCTCTGCTCCCCGGGGTTTCACCGCAGGAGAGAAAATCAACCTGCGCACAGGTGCTGGCGGCGCAGAACGGGGCTCCAGGGCCGGGTGGCTGCCCATCACTGCGACCCCAGGCCTCGAAGGTCCCGCTGCAGAGCGCCTGCCTCAACCACCCCGGGGCAGGCCCTGTGCTCCCGCCTGAGCGGGCGGAGCGAGGCCGAGGCCCTCGCCCCCTCCCCACGCGAAGGGTGACAGCCGTGGGGGCCCAGCACCGCCACCTGGGCCACAAAGCGCGGCTCCTGCGGGCTGCAGACCCCGGGCAGGTGAGGACGCTGGGGAGAGCAGCAGGGTCCGCGCCCGGGCGCCGGCTCCCATCCCACCGATTCAACCGTCCCCCCAACCCTTCAGTCTTAACCCTTTCTTATCCCCTAACCTGGATCTCAAAAGTTAAATACACATGTAGACACGTGTATGTGTATCTGTTTTCTGGGTCCCTTTTCAGATTTTTGGAGCGTAGGAGTCAACATTTGGAGACAAGGCCCCAACTTGCGGCCAACTGCCAGCGTGGCATTTCTGACCAGCAAGGCCGATCCCCTCCCCCCACTTCTGCCCCCTCCCCCACCGATGCACCCAGCTTTGGGGAAGCCTGTTTCCAACCAAGTGTCTAAAGGCAAAGGACCCGGGGGAGGGGACAAAGCTGACTAACCACGACCCCCACAATTTCTCACACACGCCCCTACCGGTCCCCGCGGTCCCTGGGGAGACCCCTGGGCACAGCCTGAAGCTGCCTGGCAACTTCTGGAGGAGTTGCCTGGGACCGCGGCTCGCGCGGAGGATGCCCCTTCCCGACTGGTGCTGGAGGCGGCTCCGGGTCCAGACCCGGGGCTCCGACCAGCGGGTCTGCTCAGGTGCCCCCACCCCCGCACCCCTCTCCTGCCGGCGCTCAGAGACCACCCTCTGTCCTTTCCAACTTCTTCCCCTCCGGCGCACGCCAGAGGGGACCTCCCGCGTGTCCTGTTCCGAAGACCCCTGCTCCCACGCGCCAGGCCGAGCCCCCACTGGCCATTGAGACCCCTGCACCGCGGTGACCCCCGTCCCCCTGTAGCCACCCCGCGCTCTCCCGGGGGGCTGCACCGGGCACGCCGCCGCCCCCAGCCCTGCCCAGGCTGGGCCGGCCTTGCACACGTGCGCCCCGGCGGCCCGGCCCCCCGAGCCCTGGCCTGCACCCCCGCTCCCCACCGGCGGCGCGGGCCCCGCGCCCGGCACCCCGCTCCCGGCGCGGCCCGGCCGCTCCCGACTCCCGCCGGCAGGGGCCCTCGCCGAGCCGCCCAAAAGCCGGAGGAAAAAGGAGCCGAGGAAAGCCTCCCCCGCCCTCGCCCGCCGTGCTCCCCCGCGAGCCCTCGGCCGCCGGCGTGGGGGGGACCGCGGCGGCCGCCCGCGCCCCGGGCCCCGGCCCGGCCCGGCCCCGGCCCGAGGCCCAGCGCCGCGCGGGGCGCACCCGCCAACTTTGGCGGCGCGGGCGCCGGAATCATGGCGGCGGCGGCCGCCGCGCTGCCCCGGGCCGGGACCCAGTGCCTGTCGCCCCCGGCCTCGCGGGCCCCCGGGAGCCGGGGCCAGGCGCGCGGGCCCCCAACTTGGCGACACTTGGGGCGCGGCGCGCGCGGCCGGCGGGGCGCACTCACCGGCGTTGAGGGAGGCGGCGGGCATGTGCGCGGTCAAGTTCGGTTTGTAAGACATCCCCCCGAGCGGCGGGGCGCGCGGGGCGCCGCGGGGCCCGGCCCGCGAGGCGGCGGCGGCGGCGGCGAGGCCGGGCGGCGGCGAGGCGGGCCCGGCGTCCGTGCGCCCGTCCGTGCGCCCGCCGAGCTCCCGCGCACTTTTTGTTGTTGACGGCTCGGGCCGCACCGGCAAATATGGCCGTCCCTCACCCTGACACCGCCGCAGTATATCACCCATACATCGGGCGGGCGCAGGGGCGGCCGCAAACTTTGAGTCGAGCCAGCGGGGCCGGCCCGGGCCGGGAGGGGGCGGCCCGGCGTCAGGGGGCGGCTCCGCCCGCGGCCGCGCCCCGCGCCTCCCCGCGCGCTCGGCGCCCGCAACTTGGCAAAGTTTGGGGGGCTGGGGTCCCGGCGGCGCCCGTGGCCCGTGTGGCTCCCTTTCTTCTTCTTCGCTTCCAGCGCCTGGAGATTTCTTATTTTACCGCTTAATTTTTTTTTTTTTTTTTTTTTTTTTAATAGCAAGGTCGGATTTCGGAATTACTTTTCTGTCCCCTTGACTGTGGGGGCAGGAATGGAAAATTACCTGGAGGACATGGTGGCGAATGATATTTTTAAGCACGTAGATCCTTCCAGACGCCGAGGTCTGGCTATTCCGCAGAATCAGAACCACCAATTCTTGACATTGATTTCAAATAAATTTCACGTCCCTGTCTGTAGTAAGTGGTTTTTAACCCTTTGGGGGCCTGTGACTCCTGTGACAAAAGCCAGAGGAATTTCCCCCGGAAAACCCGCCCTTGCAGGCGCACGACGGTGCACCTTGGCTCATTCAAACACTGAAGAAGCTCCTACTATGTGCCGGGCACCGTCCAGGTGCCAAAGGGACAAAATGAACTTGGCCAAGTTTCTCCTCTCCTGGTTGATCCCATAATTCTTGGCCCTCCTTTGACCCCATCCCAGCCTGTCCTCAGACCTGACGGCGATGTAATCAATCATCACATGGATGTGGGATTAGGTGACTTGGCTTTTGAAGGTGCTCTTCCTTGGAGGTCTGCGTAAATATAGTAAAGCTCATCAAAAATGCACAAGATGCCCACCCTCTTCCACCCTTTTTAAGCACCCTGGCTTGCAAATTTTTAAATTAGTCACAGACATTCAGATACATCTGGATCTGGGGAGGAAGGTTCTTCCCCCCGCAAAGAGGAAAGGGGTGCCCCCAGCGTGTGCCCTGCATCCCTCCCCTGAGGATTGAAGGGGCAGGCGACACCCCTTCCCCAGCTTAACCTGCTCCCCCACCCCAGAGGTCAGCTCTAGACTTCTTCAGCCATCGATGCTCAGCGAAATTTCGCATCATAAACAAATGAATGACACCTTCTCCCCGCCCCTGCGCGGGGGACCCAACCCTCAGAAGTCTGGTAGCACCTTCCCTTGGAAATGCATTCCCAGCCACAATGTAATTTTCAATGTCTTAGGAGCCCCCTTCTAGAGTGTAAGGAGGTCCTGGTGGAATTAATCTTGGATACATTTTCCTTAACACAATGGATCCAGGACACCAGGCTTCCAGGTCGTGATGACTGTGGCGACCGTAAGGTGCTTCGCACTGTTTTTGCTCCCCGCAGGCTTCAAACCCCAGCGCGCCTGGCACTGGCGGCGCGCGGCGGCCGCGGCCGGCCACGTTCCCGGCGCTCATTAGCCGCGGGAGCTGGCGGCCCTCCCATTGGACGCGGCCGGCCGGGCTACAAGCTGCGGGCCCATAGGGCGGGCGCGGCCGGCGCGGGCGCCGCCGCCGCCCCGGGGCCTCAGGGCAGCGCTCCGGGCCCCTCCCCAGGCGTCTGGGCTCCTCTCCCTGCGTTTGGGCTTCAACCGCGAGGCCGGCCCCTCGCTTGAAGCCCTGGCCACCACTGAAAAAATATTTGTTCCTTTTCAACATTGAGATCCAATCCACTTAGCATAAAATTCACCCTGTTCAAGTATGCAACTTCGTGGTGGTTGGTGTGCACGCAGAGTTGTATAACCGTCACCGCCTACTTCTAGAACATTTCCATCACCCAGAAGTGAAACTCCACACCCAACGGCAGTCACTGCCCTTTCCCCTCTGCCCCTGGCTGCCCTTGGCCTCTAGGGATGGACCTAGGACATTTCATACAAATGCGACTCCTCTCCCTCAGCATCATGTTTCCAAGGTTCACCCATGTTGTACAATGTATCAGCCCTTTGTTTCTCTGTTACTCCTGGGTGAGTAACATTCCGGTGGAGCCCGAGACCACATCACCAGCTGCCGGATGGTGGGTTGTTCCCACTTCTTGGCTATGGTAAGCATGGCCGCTGTGAACGTTTGTGTACAAGTTTTTCTGGAAACGTACACTTTCCATTCTTTGAGGTATAAAAGCCAGGAATGGAACTGCTGAGTCTTATGGTGACTCTATCATTCCCTTTTTGGGGGACCACCAAACTGGTTCCCATGGTGGCGGCACCCCCATACACCCCCCACCAGCAGCGTATGAGGGTCTGGCTTCTCCATGTCTTCACCAACACTTGCTATTGTCTTTTTTTTTGGGGGGGGGGCACGTAGTGGGTGTGATCTAGTATTTCCTGGGTTTGACTTGCATTTTCCTAAAGAGTAGTGATGAGAGCATCATTTTGTGTATTTTACTGGTCATTTGTATATATTCTGTGCGAAACATCTATTCTGATGGTTTTTTTTTTTGCCTATTTTTAATTGAATTTTCTTTTTATAATAAATTTCTAAGAGTATACACACACACTCACATATACAGGATACTGGTCCCTTCCCAGATAGATAACTTGCAAATAATCTCTCCCATTCTTTGGGGTGGGTTTTGTTGTTTTTTGTTTTTGTTTTTGTTTTTTTTCCATTTTCTTGATAGGGTACTTTGACACACAGAGACTTTTAATTTTCATTAAGTCCAACATTTCTATTTTTTCTTTGATTTGCTGTACTTTTGGTATCATGCCTCGTCCAAGGTCATGATGATTTTCACCTCCATTCCTGTGGAGGAACTTTATAGCTTTTGTTCTCATGGTTAGGTCTCTGATCGGTTCTTGGTTCACTTTTGTGTGTGACGTGAGGGCCCAGGTTCAGTCTCCGCACGGGGCTGCCCCTCCGTCCTGCCACCGTTTGTTGAAAGGCTATTCTTTCTCCATTGAATGGTCATGACACCCTTGTTGAAAATCAGTCGATGACAAATCTGAGGGTCTCTTCCTGGGCTCAGTTCTAGTCCCCTGATAATCCGTCTCTCCTGCCACCAGTACCCACGGCTCTGGTTACTGTGGCTTTGCAGTGACAAACTTTGAATTGAGGGACCATGTGCGCTGCAATTTTGTTTTTCCCTCTCAAGGTTATTTTAGCGATTCTGGGACCCTTGCATTTCCATGAGTTTTAGAATCCTGCTTGCTTATTTTTTTGCCATACAAAAGAAAGCAGTTTGGATTTCGACAGGGTTTGTATTAAATCAGTGTATCAGTTTAGGGAGTCCTGCTATCTTAGCTGCAATATTTTTTCCAGTCCAGGAACAGGTGAGGTCTTTCCATTTCTATAGGTCTTATTTCTTCACCAATGTTTTATAGTTTCCAGTGTGCAAGTCTTCTACTTCTCTGGTTAAATTTATTCCTAAGTAATTCATTATCTTTGATGCTCTTGTAAATGAAATTGTTTTCGTAATGTTTGGATTGTTCCTGCTGGTGTATAGAAATACACTTGATTTTAGCATATTGTCTTGTAACCTGCAACTGTCCTGAACTCACGTATCAGCCCTAAGAGTGTGTGTGTGTGTGTGCGCGCGCGCGCGTTTTCTGTATGTGAGGTCATGTCACCTGCAAGCAGTGTTGCCTTTTTCCTTTGGAAACGGGACGTCTGTTGTTTCTCTTTCCTGGCCCATCGCCCTGACCGGGAAGCTCAAGGACAATGCTGGAGGGACGTGGGACGAGCTGCCACCCTTGTCTTCGATCTCAGGGACAAGCTTTCACTGTTTCCTCATCAGCATCACGTGCCCTGACCGGGAACCGCACCGCGACCCCTCGGTCTACGGGTTGGCACCCCAGCCCACGGAGCCTCACCGGCCGGGTCTCATGAGCGGATTCAGAACGATGTGGAGTGGCTCCTCGTCAGCTTACTGCGCGTTTCCCACAGGGGCCTGCCAGGGACCGGGAGGCAGAGCGGAGAGTGGGGGGGCGGAGCGGAGAGGGCCAGGGCCCTGAGGATGGCTCAGAGCTTCCGGAAGCAGCGCGTTGAGGCCCAGGGCCTGCCGGGGACCTCCCTGGGCTTCAGCTGAATCTGCAGGATTAGGCAGGCTGGAGGGGATGGGGCTCGAAGAATTCCTGAAACCTGCTACCACCCCAAGAAGGCAGGCAGGCAGCGCACGCGCCGTTGTTGGTAACAACATGCGCCCGCCCAGAAAGGCCCAGCACGGTCCCGCCCCGGACGGCACTGCAGGGCGCTTGAAGGGGCTGCACCGGCCCCAGGGGGTACGAAGGGCGACTCCTAGGAGGGGGTATGAGAATGCTCTTCACGTGGGACTTCCCGTGTCTACGTTAGCACAGTAGCACCCAGGAAACTTACAAACAACTTAGCAAACAGCAGTGAAGAGAGGCCCGGGGATGTTGCGTTTTCTAATTGGAAACTGCGACCGTGCGTTCGGACACAGCCAACCGAAGAAACCAGCTCAGCCGACGGCCTGACCCGGACGTCTGACACCCAGGCACCCTGAGGGGGAAGGAGGTGTCACGGGCAGTGACTCCAACACGTGTGTGCTCCGCACGGGAGCGCCACACTTGACAGCTGCAAGCTGGAGGTCTGAGTCGGGCCTGTCCCTCAACTTAGTCATTTTCAGCCATGTTCCTGCACGTTATCCCTTACCAGGAGCCAGCAAAACCTTTCCTGAAAAGTGACCCGATATGAAGATTGCAGGCCCCGCAGGCTCTCCTGTCAGCTCCTGAGCTGTCGGCCTCCCACCGCTCCGCCCTGACTGGGTTCCCATAAAACTTTATTCATGAACGTCAAGATTTGAATTGCATGTAATTTCCCTATGTTAGCAAAAAGTCTTCGATTTATTTTTTTCAACCATGTAAGTAAAAGCTCTTCTTAGCTTCTTCCAGGGCCGTTCAAAAATAGGTGATGGGCTGGACTGAGTTTGGTTTGGTTTGGTTTGGTTGTGTTTTTAAAGATTTTATTTATTTTTAGAGAGAAGGGAAGGGAGGGAGAAAGAGATGGAGAGAAACATCCCTGATGTGCAAGAGACACATCAATTGGCTGCCTCTCACACACCCC